TGGGGCGAAGCACATTTCAAAGTCAAAATGTTAAAAGCACACCATATTCGCGCCACTTTTGGACGTTCAGATGTCGTTTCGTGGCAAGCGCAAGTGATTGTGGACCTTGTCAAAAGTGAGCAAAACGTGAGGGTTTTGTAGCATTTCCAAAAACGATGGCAGGCGTGGGACATTTGAAGAGGATCTGCAAAGATGCATTTTCCGTGGTAGGCGCAGTACAAGAAACATGTTCATCAGAGCTGTAAGGAGGTCCGGGCGCTGATTTCCTGAGAAGGGTTGCATTTTGGAGCATCAGATCTTCAGGTTTGCTGAGATGATTCTGCGTGACAGGTGCAGCACTTCGTATGACCTGGCATCACTTTTTCGTGGCAGACGCAGTACTTCAGACAAGTGGACTGGAAAAATCGCAAAACGCATTGGTACGAGGCCGTCAGCTCTGCACTCAACTTTCCATTTTTGAGGGACGTCTCGCAGAATTGTTTCGTTTTTGCTGTTGTGAACTTTAAAGCAAATAGGAAGTCTCGCAGAAGTGCTTCGTTTCTGTGACGTTGTCAAGTGCAAAAATTGAGGAAGTCTCGCTGAATTGCTGCGTTTTTGATGTTGTCAAGTTCAAAAACTGAGGAAGTCTCGCAGAATAGCTTCCTTTTCAAGCTTGCAGATAGATAGATAGATAGATAGACAGACAGACAGACAGAGACAGACAGAGAGATAGATAGATTAGATACATAGGTAGATTAGATTAGTTTAGTTTAGTTAGATTAGATTAGACTAGATTAGGTTAGATAGACACACAGACAGACAGACAGACAGACAGATAGATAGATAGATAGATACATAGATACATAGATGCAAAGATAGGTAGGTAGGCAGGTAGATAGACAGAGAAAGAGAAAGAACGAGAGAGAAAGAGATGAGATCTCAACCACCTGTCGGTCCATCAGTGGCTTCGCTCTGCCATCCATGATTCACAACAACCAACCTCGCCTATAGGTTTCCTATTCTTGAAACTTTCGCCACCGCCTTGTGCGGTACTACTGGTATTATTTAATAAAATAGGCAATATATCATAAACATTCATACATGCGTGTATGTATATATATATATATATGCATATATTTATGCATATATGTTTTGCATATATTTAAAATATACACACATGTATATATATATATGTACAAATTACATATATCAATATATAGTACATATGTATATATATATATATGTAAAAACATATATTTTCATTTATATGTATACATCTATGTATACATATTCTTGTTATATGCACCATCTAGTTCATATATTTACATATACATACAAACATACATGTTTTTTGTACATACATGCATGCATACATACATACATACATGCATAAATATATGTATATACATAATTATGTTTTATTTACATATATACTTGTATATATATATATATCTACATATAGATATATATTTATATATTTATATACTTATATATATATATTTATATGTTTACATTTGTATACACATATACATATTTATATATATATACACATACATATATACATAGATTTAATTTTCTATTTACATACATATACATATATATATATGCATGTATGGGCGTTCGTGTCGACTGCGTCGACTGCACGCCAGGCTAAAACGGCTCCAGGAAGCGTCGGAGAGCAACGTGCGGATCAGCCTCGCTGGCATGTGGAACATGTGGGTGGAACGTGGGTGGCTAGGCCAAAATATGATAAGAGGTAAGTATCATTTTTTGAAATCTTTAATTTTTTTTATATCATATGTTTTAGTATCATTATGATAAGTATCATATATTTTTAGATATCTTTAGTACTACCAATATCGATCACTATTAATGTATATTGTATTTGTCATCGTTTGGTATGTTTAGTCATCTATTGATTTCTCTTGTTTTCTGTGGCAGTTCTTCGCCATCAGTTCCAAGATATTGATATGATCAATAATATTTAGTGCATATATATATATAATGATTAATGGTAACATGCTGGCAATAAATTATAGTAACATACTAAAGGTATGAATATGACAGTTGTTTCCCATAAATATGAAGATATGAAAACGACAATAGAAAAGATAACGATGATCAATTTTGATAAAGGCAACTGGATGAAACGGAATGAACAATATTGTGTTTGATGATAGGTATTGTAGGGACCTCATTCGGCAAGGTTGACATACATGATGACCCCAAAAATTGTCTATTTACTATTGGTGATATGTGAATGATTCTACCCCGAATGGTATCCAAGGTTTGCAAGTCCCCCAAATCCCTATGAACACCACTGCAGCTGGATTGCCAGATATGGTGAGTAATCTGGTGACAGTCACTTGTATGATTTTGCAGTAAATCATCCACTTAAGGAAGAGAGGAATGTTCATCAAAATTCTTGGAAATTTGAATCGTGTGACTAGTGACTACAGTAGATCAGTGGGGTTTACACCTGCCACCGGCCTATATTACACATCCCCGGCAAACAGCGTGTTTTTTTGGCAGGTTGTGTCACCTGAACATCATCTCTACCTAGGATGCCTGGAAAAATCGCGTGCCCAACACGGTAGCTTTTGGTTCAAGTTATTGGCATTGCGCTTCGGTAGCCTCAAAGGCACCATGAAGCTCTGGCGCAATAGGAAGAGGGTGGGCGACAGACTGCCACTGCTGTCAGTTCCCGTGTTTCTTTTGCTGTAACATGTTTAAAGGACGTTGGAGGCATCTAAAGACGGACCGAAGTGCAGCGTTTCAAGCTGGTTACATCTATATATATATATTTATATATATATATGAAGCCTATATGGCTTCGGGCCCGTTTCCGGCGTTATTTTTTACGAGGTTTTCTACACGTGGTGATTTGCACTCAAAAGTCGTGTGAGTCAGACAGTGTTTCTGTGTGTTGCACTTCGAAGCATTGTGGGTGGAGACATCTGAAACACCGCAGGGGCTGCCTGGCATCTCTGCACATGGTCGCGGAGCTTGGTCGCAGAGCTTGGTCGCGGAGCTTGGTTGCGGAGCAATTGGTAGGCGGAGCGGAGGCGGTGAAGAGAGAGATCCAGAGAGAGAGGGGAAGAGAGAGGGAAAGAAAGAAGCCCCACAGTGCAGAAGCAAGGTGCTAGCAGAGGATAGGAAAGAGACTTTTCTCCAGTGAAGGTTTTGTTTGTGTGGAGAATGTAGGGGGCTCTTGTGGCCTTTGGGGGGGGTGGGGACTCTTGGGGCTGGTGGGGGTATGTGGCTGATTTGCAATTTCCCCCAGCCCCCCCCCCCCCAAGGATGCAATCCCTGGGGAAACGGTGCATTACAAGAACACATGACCATATTCTGATTGGACACTCTTGTTGGCCAGGCCGCGCTGTTCTTCGAGAGCCCCTGAGAATGCAGGAGGCGGGGCAGCATGTTCGGTGATGTTCCCCATGTGGGGTCAGAGGCCGCTTGTACGGAGCTACATGATGCACATGTACTGCTGTTTCCCTGCTGTGTTTGCACGCAGCCCTGATTTCGATGATGCACCCGCAGCCTTCTTAGAGCATCACGGATCTGCGTCCATTTGGCAGTCACTGCATCATGGAGCTTGCGCTGGAAGCGGTCAAGTCCACCAACTTGGTGTACTATGACAAGTACCAGTATGAGGAAGTGACGGTGGAGGGCTGCACCATTCAGGACTTGCCTCTTGTGCCGGCCAATCGCACGAAGAAAAGCTACAAAGAGTTCTTCCAACACGTCCCCAACGTGTCCGAGCAAGAGCTTCAATCAATCCAGGCTGCCTTTGTGGATGGCACTTTGAATCTGCCAGGCTTGCCAGACTGTGTCCGACCACGGGATGCTCTCGGAGAAGCCTGCTGTTTGCAGCTCATCATCGAGCAAAAGACGAATGGTGAGTGGCAGGCTTTGAAATTCTTCCATTCGACCGCAGTAGGAACATAGCGGTTTCATCCTTTAAAGTCTAATAGTATAACCCCGGCAACATAAAGGTCATGAGGTCCCCACCCCTCTGCAGGCATTTCAGGCGGGCTGCCGCGCGGCGTGAATGAGTGTGTCTGGTGTGTAAAGAAGCGCAAGAAGAAGTGTTTACCTAGTTAACTCCTTTAGAAAACACATGATTTACATGACTCACATAATGCTACACACAGTTACAAGCACATAGATGTACAGGCACTATGTACCACGCTTACGCTTATTTTTCGGGGGTTAGGAGTAAGCTTGCCGAACGCCATGGAGCGTCTGCCATACGCCGTAGTCGCCGCACGTGGAGACAGTAACGAAGACACGGGGGTGCCTGCCCCGGGGAACCCGGCCGGCAGGCGCCCACGCAGCACCAGCCCGCAGACGCCGCCAGCAAACCATTGGCAGTTGATGTTGGGCCCTACGCAGCGACTACCGCAGTCACCACGCAGCCGAGCTCTGCAAAACTTGGTCAGGCGTGCCGGTGCCTGAACCTGTCCAGGAGGATTGGCTGATGGTACTTTGTATCCTTGCTGTACGAGTACTGTGATGGATAAGTTGTGGCAGGCACCTTTCAATTTTTGCGTGGCGTGCCCATGTTCGCCTTTTTTTCACCTGGAAACAAACCAGGGACTGTGGCCGGCAGGTACAAAGAATTAGAGTGGCAGGCGCACGTGACTTTTTTTTCACCACGGTGATCGTCGTTGCGACATGGATGCGCGCTGCAAAAACAAAGGCTGCGTAGACGTGTGTGAAAACACTGCAAAAAAGAACGCCTGTAACAGGCCCTAAACCATATATATATATATATGTATAATATATATATATATACACATAATTATCTTATATACATATACATATATATAGATATATAGATATTGGAAACCAAGGCCAATATATTCGGCCCCTTTCACTACAACTGTGGCTATTGTTTGAGATTGCTGTGCCCCCCCTTGACATCCTGAAGCGCTTCCTGATTCCCAGCCCTGAGCCACATATGAGACGCAGATATGGGGCATTGTGTGTTGCCGGGTCAGATTCTGCGTACATATATGGAAAGCGCCGGCCATGAGCCAAGGAGCTTTGGAAATGCAGCCCGGAATTTTCACTTGGCACGCAGTGCCTATCTTGATGGTTCCGATCTAGGTGCCCGCAGCTGGGCTGTTGTAAACTAGCTGGCCACAAAATATCAAGTGATTTCAGAACGTGTTTCACAGATCTCCCTGACCGTAAAAGAGCTCTAACGATTCCAGCATATATGCACATACCGATATCGACAATATATACGCTATTTATAGATATATGTATAGTACGTATCATGGAGCGGTTCGGTGGTCAAGGTGGAAGGTCAGGGTAATGACTGGCTGCAGGCACCAAGAGAAGAGATCGGTCTGGGGACCCTACGCACGCCAGGGCCATTGGGCTGATGGCCTGGCCAGTCACATCTTGAAGTTGGCGCCAATTTTCTCGAAAGTTTGGTAGTTATGAAGTTATGTCTTCAGTATGGAAAAAGTGCGGGAGACAGATTCAGTGATGACGCGGGTCAATATGGGTCAACATGCAATGTTATTTGTTTGGATGTGACATGATGTGACTGCGAGTTTGAGTTACCCATGTTGACCTGGGATTTGATGTGCTCCAAAGACATGCAATGAGATGACCTATGGTTCTTATCGCACGTAATTGATATGTTTAGGTCAACCATCCCAAGACAAGTCTCATACTTGTATCCATTTGCATTCTGCTTTTCAAGAATGCTGGTCACCCATTGCTAGGTTAGATTACCACAGGGTATTCACCACAAACATTGGAGTTTTGTCAAAATTTGAGGCCCTGTTCCATCCCACGGTTTATCTTGTTGTTCATTATTCAGATGGCAGGTTTGGGGGATTCCCCATTAAATAAACCCATATCATCATTGTGCTGATTATATATTCACTGAAATCCCCATTATGGTTGTTGTTTTTCTCCATTCATACCGTGCGTTGTATATTTATTATCAGTGTAAGCATTGCATAGTCCCATTATAGTGATTTTATGCATTCCCATGACAATACATTATAGCAACCCCCAAAGAGATAGAACAGTGAAATCCTACCAAAGGAGTGATAAATCATGAAAAACAAACATTTTGGAAAAAACACGTTTGGGGGTTACTCTACAGATGGGTTAAGATAGTTGCTTTTATGCCCCCAGTGCTCAAACCCTTGAGATTGTGTTGAACCGGGTTCGTGCTGGCAGGATTTTTTTTCCTGACCCTGTGCCCGAAAAAATTATCCCTCTAGGAAATTTATTCAGCCCCACTTTGGCATTTTCAAAGTTCAGGGGGGTTGTCCCATGTAAAAATATTCATCGACACTGGGGTTGCAAGCAAAGGAAAGTGTGGAGTTTCTCGGAGCGGTGTTTTTTGGAGACTTGCAAAGGGATAAACATGACCTTGGCCACTGGAACTTTACCCAGAGATGTTTGCCCCCATGGTCCCAAAATTGATTCTGGATATTTTTTGTGTACCATGTACGCCTGGGGGTTGTGCCCTTTTTTGGGAATGGAAATTTATTCCGAAAAAAACTTGGCCCCAAGAAATTTATCCGGGATAAATTTGGGTACAGTACAATCCCCCGTAGGCACCACACACGGGGATTGTGTTGCCTCCCCACAACAGTTCCACTAAGGCCCCCAGAGCAGCGAAGATCCACCGAAGTGGACGTGGATCAGCGCGAAGACGTGCGAGCGCAGCAGAGGCCTTGGCGTCAGCCTGGATCCAATTGGAATCTGCAGATTTGTTCAAGAAAATATTGGTTTATTTTATGGGATTTAACGGTGATTCATGGGGGATCTAACGCTGCAAACATGTGTGATACTAATGGGATGTACCCTCTGGTCATTTCTTTTCTTGAATCGCGATCTAAACGGATTTCATTAGTCACTATTCAATTGCGACGGTGTAACGGATTAAAACCCTATTAAATGGGGGTTGGATCGCCATGAAATGTGGATGAGACATGCCAATTTGCAATGTATTTGGCTGTTACTAAATGTGTTGAACTGTCCGTTCTCGTTTGGAATGACAATTCCGATTGACAGTATGTAACAGTACGTGCTTCAATGGGTTTCAACACCCAAACAGGAACCCAAGTTTCCCTAGTCGTTCTTTGTTTCCTTGTTGGATCATGGTCGGGCATCCAAAAGCGGCGCACAGCCTACCAGTAGGAAGGCGCTTGTGGGCGACTGCTGAATGATGTCAGTCAGGATGACAAATTTGTTTAACTGGGTGACTGGCATTCGGTGCTCGAAGTTTTGTAGAATTTGCTTGACAATTAGTTACCCTCTGGTAATTCCGCGAAGGCGAAGGAAAATCCCTAAGACACATGATTGTCCGATTATGCAATATTCGATAATAATTTGCATGTTCCATCATTTTCCATTGTCATGTTTCACTCAAGACTTCAGTCCAACGTGTTGATATTCACCCGGAGGCGTGACGCTTGGTCCTCTCGCATGACCAGGGCCATGGATGGTGCCTTTGGGGCTCTGTCTGGCACGGTGCGCCAAGGGGTTGGGGACTGGAGACCACCCAGATAGTGTCCACAGTCGGCTTCCTGCATGCCCCCACAATCCGTCGTTTTCCAATTTGAGAACAGCTCGTTGATTGCGCATTATATGTCATTGATTGTTATTGTATATATATATATGTTATATGCAGAGGATTGTATAGAAATTTAATTAGATACTATGATGCTGGTATACCAGGTACACATAAGGTTTATCTGTTTAGGTGCGCCCACAGGTGGGGCCATCGAGTGAAGCACCTGGACTTCAGGATAGGCGCGGTGAATCCGTCAAATGTCCAAGAAAATCCGAAGCAAATGTGGGAAACCCATGGAAACCCAATAGACCTACCATCGGGATGGTCTATATTTTTATATAGCACCCATTTAGGGTGATGGGGGTGGTTTATCGTTGGCTTTACCACATCCGACAGGCGTTTGCTCCGCTCCCCTCGTGCGCTCGATGCCGATGCCGCCGGCTGCTGTCGGCCCTTGTCGGCACCGTTGCCCGGAGGCGGCTTGGTCACAATGGGGCCATGGAGGGTGACAGCACTGCGGTGCTCTAAGACTAAGGAAAAATATCAAGGCTCTCCTAGATAGGCAAGTTGTTTTATAGGATTTATAGTAGTGAATAAATGTGAATAATATATCAATATCTATGAGGCTATACCAACTTTGAAGTGAGGGAGCCCTTCTTGCTGGATGCTGCTGGCTATTCCCATTAGTGGTTGCTCAAACCCCAGTGCTGTTTGGTTTTATCCGTCCATCGATTGTGGGCTCAATTATCTCAATCATCTTCAACCTCAAATCCTCATTATTACTACAGCAGTCCTTAGTGACACCTTATATGCCGCAAGCATTTTTACTCCCAGAGTTGGTTTTGCAGAAACCCCACTAGTTCATGGCAAACACAAGTACAGTATAACTCATCAACCAGCAGCATCCAGCAGCTATGAATTTGGCTGTGTAAGTTTGAGGCCACTTAATCACCTAAAGTATCCTAAAGTGTCCTAAAGTTGGTTCACATGTGTTTGGATGAGTGTGTGTAATTAATGTGTATATATATATACTGTACGTACCTATAAACATGGGGGGAAAAAACTATCTTCCAATTTGAAGAAGCAGAGCATCTCAGGCTTGGTGGTGGACATTGATGTTCCCTGGCTGCATCCGAGTCATATACTGTACATATTCCGAAAGCTCACATTCTTCATCAGCTGAGTTTTGCCATCTTGGCCAAAAGAAGGGACCTTGGGAACCCACATGAATTCATCACATATTTTTGTTGTTTTTCATGTTTGAGGATTTGTATAAGTTTGGTTATGTAATCTTTTTTCAGGCTCTGAACAATCTGCACCCTGATGTTGAAGACATACCTGGACACTGCTGGAAGCCAGGGCAAGAAGCATCGTCGGCAAGTGGGGCCAAAAAGCAAGCTGGCTGCATCCGATTCAGCAACCGTTTTGCGTTTTTTTTGTCAGAGGGTTGTCTAGTTTCAGCAAGCTCCAAGCATCCAAAGAGCGGGAAAACACTGTGAACCTTATAGTCCTGCTGATTCTGTAGATTTCATGAATTTTCACAGGCCTTCGTTGAGCCTCCGTGCTTTTCGATCCAAATTGAAATTTGGGGCACTTCCCGACAGTTCCAGAGGCAAGCCCGAGAAGACCTTGAAGCGCCACGATCGCCACAACGACGTCGCCGGCTCAACATCTTCCAAGATCTATCCGGGGCCTTTGGAATCCTGGAATCCTGTCGCCCAGGTGAAGAGTACCCATAAACAGGCGGACGGCGACTTCCAAGGCCCACATTTGGATGCTAAGATGGAGTGGATGTAGGTGGCACACTCTTGAGAATTAGCTGCAGATGATGGATTTCAAGTGAATGGCTTTGTTGCATCCACCTGTCCACCTTCAGTTCAAAACTTGCATGAGCTTCATATTTAATATACCATGTCACGGGGATAGTGTGAAATTCCGAAAAAATCTGAAGGCTTAGTCAGTTCTGTTCATAGCTTCTCGGAAGGAAACCGTTTCCACCTGAAAACTGTTTCATAAAACTTCATTGTTTGAGGTTTCCGGTGCACGCTTTTCCGTTTAAAGTTTCAACGGCGCACTGTTTCCCTATGATGACAGACCTCAATGTGGTTGGCAGCATTCCTTGGTGCTGTGCTGATGTGGTTGGCCCCTCACATTTGATTGGTTGATCACCCAGGTTATGTCCTGCTACCTGCTATAGTTCCAGTGTTCGGGGTGGGCTGGACATGTTGGGACCATCCTCTTCTAGTGGCGATGTCCCACAGGCCGAGCTTTCTTTGATCAGATCGTCCAAGCCGAGAAGTATGCGAACCTGGTGGGCCGCCCCTTGGTGTAGACTGGAGCACTGCAAGCAGTATCTCAAAATGAGGGATGCCAATGATCAAACCAGGACCATTTCAATGGTGATATAGAATGGTAAATGACTGTAATTGACTGTAAACGAATGATAAACCATGGGTGGGATTGGTGTACCCATGGTGTACCCATGGGTACCTTGTTTTGAGACATCCCGTGACAGCCTGTGACAGCGAGATTGGGGTCAGATCCTTCAGAACTCCGAGGATCTGACAAATTGCCAGAGAGTAATCTGCCACATGGCAGTGCAGGGGGGCAGCTGAGCACTTCGGGGTAGCGGGAAGCCAGTAGTGTGACAGCTATCTCGACTTCCTCACTTTCAGTATGTTTAAGTATGATTAAGTATTTTAAGTATATATGATTGAGTCATAGCTTTTGGGCATGCACTTCGATGCCTCGTGATTTGATTTTGGTGTCGGTGACTCGCCCCTCACACATTTTGGTGGATAGGCTGCCCTTGTGGTTCCGACAGCACGACAGCAGTGGAAAACAAGGTAAGCAGCAGAAAAATACCAGAAGCATTTTGCCTGGACTACTTCAAAATGTGTAATTAAATGATGTAGGAGGGACTCCTTCAATTTGTTTTCCTTCGCACATTTAACCAAAAAGTATTCTCTCATAGAACTAGAACATGTACCACATTGTACCACATATCAACACACATCACAATATCGTTATTTGATATCAGATGTGTTATATATTCATACATTATTTTATTGGCTATAAACTGCCAAATCCTACTCCACAGGCATGATGAGACCCAATGGACCCAACAAAACCTAAGGCCTTGGGCGCCGGAGCAGAGTTGGATGACACCCTCAGCGTTTCTTGGCGCGGATGGATGTCCATGCCATCTATGTCCCTGTCATCACAGGTCTTGAAGTCGAAAAAGAGTCAGTGATGATGTTCGGGCATGTTCGGGCTAAGTTTGCTTAAGTTCACGGAAATGCAGGAACATCACAAGATTTCACAACCTCATATTATCATATATTATATTATCTCGTATTCTCGTCATTTCTCGTCAGATCTCATCACCGTGCTTCGCGCAACCAAGGGTGGTTCCATCATTGGAGGCTCGCCGTGGCCAAGGATCAAACGAGGAGACATCTCCTGCCACCGTCTCAGGGGGCATTGCAGGCTGATGTTTCCGATGTTTCCTCATCTATAGCAGACCCAAAAAAAAGATATACAAAGATGCCGAAAAGCTGGAAACCTGGAAAAAATATGAAAAAATGGGAAAATAGAATGGAATTACCATTCTATACCATGCATTTGAAATGTTGTTTCGACATTTAATCACCATTTGTTGCTTATATATTCATATGTGGATATACCGATTATACCATCCTTCTAAATATAGAATATAGACCACTTGTTGGTTACGTATATATAAATTGACCATCTTTAGATTATCAATGTATGTGAAATGTTTTGTATTTAAATGCAGCTCTTCACGCCACATTGTTATATATATATATGCATATCGATTTACACATATCCGCACACACACACACATTTTCTCATACTCTTCATTTACATGTAACCCGGCCTAAAGTTTCTAGAAGATTCTTGCAAATGCTTCAGCTACTTGTGAAGGGGTGCAATTGTCCGTTCTGCCAGGGAGCCTTGATCAAGAGCATTTGGCAGAATCGTTTGAATAGAAACTTTCTGCGTGTTGTTTCCGCACTGCATCTCGCAAAGCGTTTTATGCTAGCTATATAGGCAATATATAGTCTACAGTATGCTGGCCCTTTATTTTATTCTGGTGAGGTATCCAAAATCACCATTTGTTGCTTATATATTCATATGTGGATATACCGATCATACCATCCTTCTACATATATAGAATATAGATTCACCATTTCTTGGTTACGTATATATGAATTGACCATCTGTAGATTATCAATGTATAGATATTGAACAGATGAATTTTAGATATTACATGTTCCATCATGTTCCATTATTCTATATAATCTATATATATATTATATATAGAGAGATTCACCAAAATATCACCAATATCGATTCTGGGTTCCCTGGGTCCCTGTCGTTTTCGTTTCGCCCAGGCTTCCGAGGACCTTCCAACGTTGCTTGGAGCACGGCCGCGCACCGGGGATCAGAAGGCGAGTGCGACAGTCACGAAGGAAACATAGCTACATCTATGATTGGTGTAGATGTATTGACTATATAGATATGATTGGAAAGAATAGTTCATTTTCATATATATTTATTTATTTACACGTGTATTGTATAGATATGTATATATATGCATATGTGCACATATATATATATATATATGCGTCTATATATATACATATATATATATGTGTGTGTGTGTGTCTGTGTGTTCAGGCACATTCATCGAAAAAAACATAATATGTATTACAATACAATACAGCATACAATACATGTATATACAAATGTTTTCATATACATTCAATCCACCAAACTTCATCCAGCTGATCTAGCTGCAATTGCTGCAATGATTCTCATTTGGCTCCAAGGACAGAGATCAGATATTTGCGGTTGGCATTCCCAATTCCCAAGGCATTTTCAGGCAGATCGTCAGTTTGGCGCTGGCCAAATGTTCAAATACATTCATTTTCTCAAGACATCAGCCATTGCTTCCGTTTGTGATGGTGGACGAATGGCGGCGACTGGCGCAGTCAGAAGAGTGGCTTGGGAGCAGCGTTTTGGGCTAAAGAGATTAGGTACCCATGATTTCACCAAGTGGATAGGGCCGATAGGGTAGATTAGTGTATGATTTGGGCACGGTTTCAATGATCAATGTTGATCATGTTTGATGACAAAATATGACAAAATGCGATATCCGATATGCAAATCAAACCCATTCGGAAAAAACAAAAACATCGGACGTAGATCATATATATGTGTGTGTGTTCGAGCTTGACCGAGATACGGAGCTTGAAGTCCTGAGTGCTGATGACTGATAGATCTGGATCAATCCTTCCAGTCCGTGGCAGGTATGTGATCTACTTGAAGGTCTTTGCCGCGATAACCTTAGGTGTAGCTTGACTTCAGCAGATGGTGCCACTGGCACGACTCAAAACTTGGCGAAGAAGGAGAAACATGGAGAAACTATGAGATTCAGTAGAACATGTAGAACTTCCGGCCCTGCTCAATATATAATCTCTTTGTGACAATCATATGTCAATCAAATCTTTATTCTCAGGATTATATAATCATTAGTCAGGACTCCAGGACATTGCAGGACTATTCATGGTCCAAAGGGAGTTGTTTGATGTTGTTTTGACATGTTTTGATTGCACACATGCACGCGACAATTTGTCTTAGTTGTCTTCACACAGGCATTGTCGGCCCTGTTCTCGGGCCTGAATTTGGGATTGATGTGCCTCGATGCAAACCAGTTGCAGCTCCTGGTGAAAGTTTCTTGCCGGCAGAATTATTAGCTGGGTCGGTCGGAGGTCGTCCTGATTTTTCTGGTGTATATACAGTTTGAAGGAAGTTCCCCACATCTTGCTCAGGGCAGCTTTCCAACAAATCAAAACCCATTCCAACCTCAAAAAAAGTCTGCGCATGAATTCTCCAGGCCAAACTGTTGGTATAATATGTGCCTTTTCTGATCCATTAATGTAAGGCTTAAGGTGAAGATTTTGCAGACTCTCCTTTTGAACAATGAGTCACAATTCCCAATTCGCAATTACAGGCATGCAGTGACTCTGTCTTTCCCCTGGCCTTTGGTGGCTCTCTCATTCAAAGAATGAAGCATGGAAACCACACAGACATGCCACTGCGGATGCCTCAAGCGTTAGCACCAGTGGGAAGATATCATAGGGCCTTGTAGCCCAAAAAGTTCGATCAGTTATTTCACAATATTTCACACTACTTTGATTGCGACTTACTTTTCTCTACTTTTGTGTTTTCAGGGATCACAAAACGCTAGTTGTGCCGCTTGTCGCCTGCTTGCAAGGCTGCTGAACAGCCAGATGCAGATGAAGAGGCACAACGACAAGGAGAGTTTGGTGAAGATTATGACTAGTAGTTGTTTGTTTTTAGATGGCGATGGAGAGAGTTGTTTGTTGTGCTTATGTGCATGCTCCGCCCCCGCAAACACGTATCATCAGAGGATTCACTGAATAAGCCGGAATGAATATCATTTGCGGAAAGGATGGAGACATAGTGACATAGTGAGACAGAGACCTTCAATGAAGCCAACTTAACTGTCAAAATGTCGTTCGGCATGCAACTGGCTGCCGCCGTCGCTGACCGACAGCCGCAGGACTTTGGGCCAAGCGGATCTATCCGATTCGAAAGGATGGCAATTTGCTGTTGTGCAGCTCGGAATCATTGAACCTGCCAGTCAACAAGGGCACCTCAAAAGAAGGAAGCACACATCCAGCAATTATCACCAATGCATGTATAGTTTCATCCCATAGGTGCTATTTTCTGCAATTATTTTTCCAAACTCCGAGACATGCCAAGTTGCCCGTGAATATCTTAAATTCGATGGGCATTGATGAAAACACCCCAGTTTACGCTTCCTGCATTCTGCCAGAGGCGGGAACACTGGTACTGGCTGTCTCATGTGATATCTCTAGAGCTCCAGCATGTGCAGTTTGGGACCGCCCTCTTTTGCAGAACCACCCTCACTCTATTCCAGTGAGCTTTTACAAGGTACAGTGCTGTTGGGCAACGTGATGGTGAACTCCTATTTTGCTATCCTCATGACTGAATTTTGGAGTGGAACGGCTGAAGCTCAGCAAAGAAACGGATTGTTCGGGAAGTTCGGGGCCCTCCCTGAGGGATTTTGGTGTGATGTGGAGTCTTGGGGAGGCTGGACTGGCCCTGTTTGCCCAGGAATGGAATTCAAGTTGTTTGGGATTGTTACTTGCTTACATTGAACCACTCTGGCAGATCATCAGGTCGTCGCATGGCTACCTTTTTGTGCCTTAGGCGTTTATTGCCAGTACCCTCATCATTGTGACCTTCGGAGAGATTCTGCCACAGTCAATTTGCTACCAGCATGGCCTAAAGATCGGATCTGCACTGGTTCCTTTTGTGCCGCGGCGTTTTTGTTCAGATGGGGCTGAAAGGCGGAGTTGATGGGATTTACTACGGTAACAATACTATGGGAGTTACTATGGGTACTGCATCGCAGGTGATGCGCTGTTGGAAAATGACTATGAGCAACACCTTGCGCACGGGATTCAGAGAATCAATACCATGGAGCCTGGTTCAATTAGCGTGAATTCTATTCATATTTTAGATCTATTCCTATATGTGTATGTATATATATATATGTATATATATATATATACATATGTATATATATATATGTATATGCATGCATCAATTAGCATTGTGATGCATTGTGGCGTTCTCTCCCAGACTTATCAGCAATGAGCCGCAACTTGGCTGGATGAAGTCGCCCCACAGCATGCAGCATCGCCTTTGGCCCAGTCTTAAAACCTATATATCTGACTGTTCCGGCTCATCATAGTTCATGAAAGACAACGATTTTGCTCATCACATTACGATCAAACATCGAACATTCACTTCTTTCCCGGATGGCGATGGAGATAGAGTTCTTTCCCCACAGTGCATGCCATTGTCCTGGCCACACACGTACCATGTTTTCAGACGGCCCGGGAAGCCTCAAGGTCACTTTCTTCTGGTATTTGCTACTTCCAATCTCCAAGCCTTTGGCTTTGGTACTCGATCAAATCTTTGGTGAAGAGATCGGTCAGATTCTGGACCAGAAGCAGTTCCTTGTTTGCCAAGGGCTTCAGGGCTGTAGGCTGCCCTTGTGCGGTTGGGCGTAGGTACCTCATAACACCTTATAACCATGTCAATGTATGTACAAAATATATCATGATATACATATATATCTATATCTAATGTGTGTGTATATGTATTTTTGCATATACATATGTATATATATATATGTGTGTGTGTTTGTGTGTATGTATGCTATATATATACACACACGTGTGTATGTGTTTGTGCAGGTATGTAACATAGTATATACATAAATATACATAATATATATATATGGTACCTGCCCCACAAGTGTGTCATATGTTATCAATAAATCATGAATGTAGTGCATGTATGTGTATGTTACGAGATCATCTTTGATGGAGTGCGTCCAGCCTGAAACAGACTCAGCGCTCAATTAGGGCCTTGACACGACGGATTCCTGGAAGTGGGCAGAAAGCGCACATGGCGTTGGAAGGACATGTGCAACAACCTTCCATGCACAAAGTGCATACCTATCAATGAACCATCCCAAGTTTCCAGCTCAGAACAACCTCGTAGACGACAGCAGGGAAAACAAAATGTCAAGCCCCTACAGAACAATCAGCTTCACCAAGTTCAGCACCGGCCCCACTGCATCATCCAATGCTGTTCTCCGGCATCGCACAGTGATTGTCTTTTTACGGAGTTGTGGGTTTCGAGACGCACTACTCCCTCAAGACCAAGCTTGTTGGATCCCTTTGGTTTTCTTAAGAAGCGACAAATTCTTTGATCTGATCAGATTGCAAACCAAGATGATTCAAGCACATCAGATAAACAGGTGGTCCGTTCTCCCAGGCTGCTATTTTTGCAGCTAGGTTAGTCACGTTGATCGAGTACTCACGACGGCAAGCACCACACCTCCTCACTGAGCAGGAGTGGCAGGGCGCAGTCTGGCACTGGACACACGTTCCCTGCAGGTTGATCTCAGTTCATGTCAGATATCTATGTGATTATTAATGATTAATTGTGATTTCATGTCAGGAGTGCCTTGTCGGAGCTGAGAGGATTGGCTTTTCCAATAGCTACAACTGTCCTTCCCAGATCTTTCCATCCCAGGAGGCCAAGATTCTAAGAGGCTCCTTGGGCTTCTCCACCATGACGGACACTTGGATTTTTCTTGGATCGGGAACACTTGGCCTCCAATCCTGTCAGCCTGAAATCAATTTTGGCAGTATGTCAGATATGTATAGAATTGTATAGATATGTGGGGGGTCAAATCTTCAAAGAAAGATGTGGGTTTGTCTGAAAATAGGGCACCCCAAAATTTGATGGTTTATATGATTTGATATTATTTATAGTAATATATTCCCTGTTAAATGGCTATTTGGAGGATAAACCCCATTTTCAGACCCTAACTCGGCGGGCCGAGGCGAAGAATCTCATGGTGCCCATGGCGGATTGCTTTTGCCTCGATGCCCATGTCGCTTGCGAAGCGGGATTGGAAGCATCAAGAAATGGTGATTTAATCAATCAACTCACCAATTTCTTGATTATCATTCATGTATCGAAGGAAGTTTAGAAGTCAAACTTCCGACAATATGGACAGATGGAAAAGCAGAGGTGGGAAGAGTCAGAGAAGAGAAGAGAAGAGAAGAAGAGAGAAGATCAGAGGCGAGAGAGTCAGAAGAAAGAAGATGCAGGTGCGCGAAAAGGTATATAGGAAAGTCGTGAAACATTGTGTTTTTCCAATGATTTGTGGCTCCGGAGGGTCGAAAAGTAGGCTCGCTACTGTAAAGCGGCGGGTGCGGAGCCATCTGGCCAGATGAGAGATGAAAAATTGCACGCCGCTGTGGCGCGAAGCACATTTAGAAGTCAAAATGCACAAAGCACTTCATGTTCGGACGACTTTTGGAAGTTGAGATGTCGAAAAAGTGCACGCCGTTGTGGCGCGAAGCACATTTCCAAGTCAAAATGCACAAGACACACAAGGTTCGGAGCACTTTTGGAAGTTGAGAGGAGTGCACGCCGTTGTGGCGCGAAGCCCATTTCCAAGTCAAAATGTACAAGACACACCATTCTCCGACCACTTTTGGAAGTAGAGATGTCGAAAAAGTGCACGCCGTTGTGGCGCGAAGCACATTTCCAAGTCAAAAGGCACAAGACACACCATTCTCGGACCACTTTTAGAAGTAGAGATGTCGAAAAAGTGCACACCGTTGTGGCGCGAAGCCCATTTCCAAGTCAAAATGCACAAAGCACACCATTTTCGGACCACAAGGGATTCTGCACCTTTTCCAAAAGTGAGCAAAACGTGAGGGTTTTGTAGCAGTTTCAACTACAACCACCACTACACTACATTACACTACACTACGCTCCACTACAACTACAACAATAACTACAACTACAACTACAACTACACTACAATACACTACAATACACTACACTCCACTACACAACACTACACTCAATTACACTACACTACACTAATTACAACTACAACTGCAACTACAACTACACTACACTACACTACACTACACTTCACTACACTCAATTGCACCACAGTACAACTACAACTACACTACACTCCACTTCACTTCACTACACTACACTCAATTACGCCACACTACAGCTACAACTACAACTACAACTACATTACACTACACTAATTACATTGCACTACACTCATTACATTACACTCCACTACGCTACATTACACTACACTACATTAACTACAACTACAACTACATAACACTACACTATACTACACTACACTGCGCTACACCACACTACACCACGCCACACCACACTACACTACACTAACTACAGCTACAACTACAACTACGCTACTTTACACTACACGACACTAGAGTACACTACATTACACTACATTACACTACACTACATTCAATTACACCACCTACTTGTAATCATTTTCCCGCGGGGCCGATTCATTACACTACACTTATTACAAATGCAACTGCCACTACACTACACTAATTGCACTACACCACAGCTACAACTCCACTACATGACAACTACAACTACAGCTGCGCTACACCACACTACATCCAGCAGTTGTGGGTGAGGTGACCGACCAGGTGATCACTGCAACCATTGCAACAAAACACAACTCCAACCACCTTTGGGTTCATCAGTGGATTCGCTCTGCCATCCGTGATTCACAACAATGACAACCAACCTCTCCTATAGGTTTCCTATTTCTGAAACTTCCGCCACCGCCCTGCGCGGCACTACTGGCAATTTTCAATAAAATCGCTAAATCATCCTATTACTATACGATTAACCCATCAATTTTACTCGTCAACCAGTGGTATAGGATGGGTTATATTAACCCATGAGTATATAGCTGGGTGGTTCCTCATCCCCAACTCACCAATGTTTTTTGGGGCTGAAACCACCAACCACCTTGGAAAATGTATGGAACATACACCAGGTTGATGGTTGAGAAGCAAAACATGTTCCCCATTCGAACGGCCAGAAGTTGAGGGTTTGGGGGTACCCAACAATGATTCGGTTTTCTGTGAGATTCCTTTGGGGGACTGCAGAGTTGTTTGCTGCTGATTTTATTGTATGTGTTGTGCTGGTACTACTTGGTCAGCGAAATGGCGTTCAATATGTCAAATCCCAGGTTTGGACAAAGTGAAGATGCACAGGAAACCTCAATGGTGTCCAATAAAAATGTTGTGCTGGCTATGTCTACCGCAGCACGCCCAAGGCAGTGATCAATCCGGGGCTTTGCGCTGCAGTCGCTGCTGCAGGCTTCTCACGCATACCAGTGATCGACCGCGATCAGATGAATCCCAAGAAGCAGTTTCTTGGTGGCATCCCACCATCCCAGTTGGGTGGCTGAAGGGAACTTAAACCCGCAAAAATGGTTTTAAATGGTACTGGTATGAATGAATCAATATAAATATTGTTATTTTTTCCAGTGCGTTCTCTCAAAATGATCTATATAATTTTACGTCTAATATACTCATTGTTTCAGTTCCCTTTTGCCTTTTGCGGAGTAAAGGTTTAGCAAGAATGCCCTGAGTAGGTAGTGATAGGTAGTGAGGGGTAGTGTATTTGTGCCAGATTTGGAAGTCTGGCCCCGAGGTATGCGGTGGTGGGTTTGATCCACGTCAAAGACTTGCTCTTGCTGGACATCGACCACGAGGCCCTTTGAGTCGTTCATCCTTGTGCCACACAGCTTGACGAATGTCGACAGAGTCGACAGGTGGCGTTGAAAGCTTTGCTGCCGCTGATTGGTCGTCCAGTCTGCTGCCAAGTTCTCCCATGCTGCAAGTCACCTCTGTGTATCAAGACATTGGGTCCGGGTTGATGATCTTCCGCACTTGGTGCTGGGTGCCTTGGGGGGTTCCAGCTGTTGATGGCTGAGTGACTTGGAACTCAGGTCTTCATTGTCGATGATGATAGGCCCTTGCTGGAACTTTTGGATGAGTTTCGGAAGGGAGCCAGCCGCTCGCCCTGTACTACTTAGGGTTATTTTGGGTTGCAACATCCACTGACAAGGAGAATATTTTGGAAATGGATGATCACATGTATTCACAGATCATATATTACTGTAATGATTATTCTAGTAGGGCCACGAGTTGATCATCCTGCATTTCAGACGCTTTTGGGCTAACCCGATCATACCCAGGACTAGCAAGGGGTACCCTGCATGCTGCAGCAAGACATTCTCAACAGTGGGGGCTAAGGGTCAAGGAGGACCATCTTCATCGGCGGAAATGTGTTGGGGGACAAAATGAAACACGTGTCACATGAAAATCTTCAGATTCAATGATTCAATGTGCAGGAGATCATCCAGAATATACAATTCTCGAAAATTTCCCATTATGTAGAACGATTAGCACATGATGCTGCACCTTTCCGTGACGAAGTGTCCGTTGCAACTCTCCAATCTCTCCAACCGCATCGTGTGAGGTCAATTGGCAGTTGTCCGTGGCATCGTCAATGACGAGGAGAGAGCAGGGTCGTCCATGCGGCGGAAAGAAGGGGCTGAAACTCTCGGGTATCCGAGAAGGTCAATCCAACATGGCGACGGAAGATCCATGACCGGAAATGTTCATATGGCGAAATTCATTCGCATTTTTTCACATATAATTCCAAGGAATTAAAACGGTCTTTCTCCCATCAGATTGTTGGATGATCATGATGATAAATCATCCTATGGTTTTCTTATTTCGGAAATCAGTTGTTTGGGAACTGGTTGATTACCATGGTTCAAACAATGTTCAAACCTCGTTCCGTTTGGGGGTTGCCCCATTCTCCAGTAGGTTGGCCACAGGACTGCGACCCATACTTTCGCCATGTGGGGATCCTGACCCTTCAGGCGCTTTCGGGTCACGCAGCAGGGCCTGGCTGGGCCCAAAAAAGCATAGTCCCACCTATTTCCCCTACAAAATCTAGCACGTTGACGTTTGAAACAAACCATTTTTTTGAGAGTCATGTGATGGTATCTTGAATGCTCCTCCAGCTGATTGAGATTTTGTAGGAGGCCATTTTTGGGCTGATATTTGGAATGACTTTTTGGATGTTTCTGGTTTTGTAGTGTTTTTGGTTTTCAGGAGTTTAAGGCCATGGTTTAGATTTTGTCGGATGTTTCTGGTTTTGTAGGGAAATGGGCTGAACCATGATTTCAGTTGATTTCATATGGTTCCATATGGTTTCAAAAATAGTTGACATGATCCCCGTGGCAATTTCCACTCTAGAACTGGTGAACCTGTGCGTAGTTTAAACAATATTTTTAATGTATTGGAATTTTAAAATTGATGTCAGGCTAGTCATTTTATTGTTGGGGGGGTGGTCTGAGCATTTTATTGGCAAGGTAAATCCTGATGATTTTTAACATGTTAAAATTCCATTCTCATTTTATTGCAAAAAAATGTTTGTTTGGAGCATTTTATTGCAGAATGGAACCAATGCTTTTCCAGGATCTTTTTATATCGATTTTATTGGGCATGTCATTTTAGATCAGCAATAGAGAAAACCTCTTGCTAGATTTGTGGCAGGTTCCTGATTCTGTAGAGGTCCGTCAAAACCATTTTTTGGACAGCCTAAGTGCCTGCAAGGGTGTGCAAGGACAGGTTCCTGATTTTGTAGTGGGAGCATGGCTGAAACTGTAGGTTCCTCATTCTGTAGAGTGTTTCTGAAAATCATAAAAGTGCACCAAAAAAATGGGATTGGGTGCCCTGATTTTGTAGAGAAAACCTCACTCTTGCTAGATTTGTGGCAGGTTCCTGATTCTGTAGAGGTCCGTCAAACCGTTTTTTGCACAGCCTAAGTGCCTGCAAGGGTGTGCAAGGACAGGTTCCTGATTTTGTAGTGGGAGCATGGCTGAAACTGTAGGTTCCTCATTCTGTAGAGGTTTTGGGGTGTGTCAGCATTCATGTGCATAGATATTTACAAATTATATAGATTTTACAAAACTGGAAATGTGGAACAGGAGTTGCCTCTACAAAATATATCAGAATATGTTTTTGTACGTTTCAGGGTTTTCAGGTGAGAAGGGGAGACCAAGGTTCTTTCACATCATCCCTCTACAAAATGGATCTTTGTATTTTTGATGGTTTTCTTTCTTCCAAGTAGCAATTCTGCTTAAATGTTTGCTCATGTCAGGTTCCCCACTTTGTAGGGGCCAGTGGTTCTGAAAATCACAAAAGTGCACCAAAAAAAGGGGGTTGGGTGCCCTGATTTTGTAGAGAAAACCCCTTGCTAGATTTGTGGCAGGTTCCTCATTCTGTAGAGGCCTAGGGCGCCAAAAGTCAGATTTGGCTCTACAAAATGGGGACACCCAACCCCCCCAGGTCATTTTTTGGGATAATGTTTTTGTATGTTTTTGTGCATTTGAAAGTCTGAGGCCCTATGCACAAAAGTTAGACCGCTCTAAAACTCCTGCACAGCTTCACATAATGAAATGGAACCCCGATTTGACATGTATGATTCCACATTTTCTGTGGCATTGAAATTTTGGAACTGAATGGCATTGATGTTGATGTGGAGACATACATTTTCCAGCGTGCGGCCTCTACAAAATCAACAAGTGAATCAAGCTGATTTTTATACCTCAAACACTGGTTTCTCTACAAAATGCATTTTTTTCTGAGACAATTTTTAAAGGTTTTGTGAATCAATTTTTAATGCCTTTATATAGCAGATGGATTTCTATGATTTGGATTTAGTAGATTTGGAGGGGGTGACAGGTGTAAGCCCAAGTGGGGTTGCATGTTAAGATTTTGTAGATTGAAGATGTTCATGTTCAAATGACATGTTTCTGGTTTTGTAGGGCCCCCCCCCTATGTTTTTAGATTTGTGCATACAAAATCTGAACCCCCAACCCCCAGGGCTATCAAACGCAACTATAAAAAAGCATCAATTTCACCTAGTTTATCATGTTTTAACATTAACACTGTATGGCAATTTTATGGGTATACGGTATACTGTGTACAATACCTAATTCCCAAGCACACTCATATCATATTCGATATTCATCGATTTTCTTTGGGATCTTTTGGGGGGTTGGAAAACCCACAGTTTGTAACATTTTAGAAGCACAGTGTTTGGCCATCGGAAGATAAGTGTAAAGCCGATGTGCCGAAGTCATGTGCCAAAGGGCGGCCATTGGGAAACTGGGGATTTTTCGTTGCCATTTACATAGGGCTTACCCATCCGATAATTCTAGATAAATCTAAATTAGACGAAAATTTTATAAGTTACAGTTTAAGCCAACTTGGCTTGGCTATCGTTTGAGGCTCCCTTCCTGTAACACACATAAGTTCGGTTTTCTTAGCTAACTTGTATCCTTCCACTATTAATTATTTGAGATAGTTATTCTGTTCCACTAGCATACTTACTAGGCAAGAATCCTCAAAGACTCGCCAAATTTCTCCAAATTTCAACATCCAAACATATCTAAACCATGGGTGTTTAGCCCTTTCCCCACCATTGGATGAAGGGAAATGTTGAAAACTGGCCCTCAAAAATAAAACACACGGTTTCCGGCCAATCCCAACAAAACAACCCTTTACTGTCACTATCCAGTGTTTCGGAGGCAGCCAAGGAGCTATGGGTATCCATATTCCCTATTAAATGATTTAAAAGGGGAGTGAAGGAACTACAAGGAGTTTACCACAGTTTATGATTCTCTGATCCATAGATGTCCTCTTCCCACTGGTTGAGAGTCGAGGCTTCCCCCCATTCAACCAATAGATGACCAAAAAGCGGCCCCGCCAGGATCTGCTGAACACCATCGTCCAAGAAGACCTGCACGAAGTGGACGCCGATGACGTGGAGTCCGTGGTGAGCAGCGAACCCAGCGAGATGTTCTCCAACGTCCCGCGCTTTTACGAGGCACGAAGCGTGCGAAGATGGTGAAAAATGCTGGATTATCCCAGAAAAAAATGATGATACTGATCGTTTCATGGTGGTTGAACGAGAAAGACCTGGGATGTGGTGATATAATGATATGATGTGTATATATATATATGTACTATATATAGATATATACTGGTGATATGAAACCAACATAAACCAAGCATTTTATGGGATACAATTCCCTCCCCTCTGAATTGTTAAACACCCCCAAAGTGATCCCGGATGACTGGAGGGATAGGATTCATGGGGAGACTTTTTTTATATCACGGGTAAATTCACCAAAAATATCGGAAACATATTATCTACTTGTGGCCGAATTGAGGTGAACAAATTGGTATAGCAATGGTAGTTATAACATGTTATAACCTATAAAAAACCCTGGGCCTCTAGAACTCTGGAATGCGCACTCTGCCCAAGTGGAACTGCACCCCCAAGTATGGACTTATATAATTGAAATTGAATCAGTGAAATTGATATAATTCAATTACTTTGTACACTTGGAATTGATTATTGGAACTGGCTTTGCTCACTTCAGCTTGACTCTGACATGGAATCTAAACTAGTTTGAATCTCAATTGGAACTGATTTTGAGCTAATTTTTTTAGGAAGGTCACCAAGATTGGGGAACGATATTTCGGTGGCTTCAAACAATGGTTTATTTAGCTGTCAGCTTGTTTCTGTACTATATTTACCCCTTTGCGGGTTTGGTTTGATGCATCTGCGAAACGACATGCAATGAAGAACATGCACCTTCAGGACCTGGAGATATTTGAAATTTTGAAGTCGCATTTCAAGAAAAACAGGATTGAAAAAACGAGAAAAATAAAAAAGAGAGGCAAACAACAAGTAACAATACTAAAGGTAGCGCACTTGTTTTTGGATGTTTTTGGGGTGTTACTAATCCGTCCGGCAAGTTGGCGAACTTTGTTGCCATCCTGCGTTTTAATCCTATGTCAACAGTATATCACCATTGCTCATGCGAATGTCATCCATAAAATGATAAAATGATCCACAATTTATGTTTTTTTAATGGGGAAATCACCCATAAATGGATATATATACATGGGTCATTCTTTCTATATTTCAACAACAGCTTGTTGTCGTAATTCTATGGATATACATGGGGCAGCGCTTCTGTATTAGATTGTCAAACAAGAGCTTGTTGTAGTAGGTCTTAGCTGGGTTGTCTTCAAATGGCTACGCCAAAACGACCATGAAAATTTTGAACCCGTCCAGTCGACCCATTTCTTGGCGCAGTTATGACAGTTCAGACCCTTTGTTTTTGAAGTTGCATCAGGCAGCTGCCCAAGTACAAGCGCAAGATGCATCAGTGCACTAATGTGATCTAATGTGCACTATTTGGGATGATTTGGTGCATGTTTGTCCCACAAGGTCAACAAGTCACAGCAAACAAGTCACGTTTCGCCAAGGAAATGATGGACGACACCACTGCCGAAAGTTGTCACCAGGGCCCTTTGGCACGAGCTCATCAAACTCAAGTCGCTCGGGGCCTCTCAAAGGCTGGGAACTGGGAAGTGCGATTTGTGTCAGCCTGTGTCAGTTGATATGTTTGGCGGATTGTGTTTCCGCCTTAGCATGTTCAGCGGCAAACGATAGCTATATAATAAGTTATACAGATTATATCATTATATTGGTTGAAAGTTGCATGCTGCGAAAAATTCATTTAGTATATTTGTTTTTCGCACAAGGTGGTGTTGACAAAACTACCGTACTTTCCGAGAAAAAACACATAATCTCAGATTCCGTGTGTGAGACCTTACGTATCATTGTTTCATGTTGCATCATATTGGATGTCACCCCATGTTTTGTTTGCTTTGGATGTTCGTTCATTGGCACAAGATGTACATGACACATCATAACACAAGGTACCCAGGCACCAAGTTCTGAACGTGTTGACTCCAGGATGAGGTGGTTGCTGCGGCAGCTTTCCTGCGGCAGCGCTATCCGTGGCTTGGTGATGACAGGAAACCCAGTGCAGGATCCCATGAAGTTGCTTTGGGTTAACCTGGTGAGGAATGATGGAGGATGAGGATGATGATGATCATGATGATCATGATCATGATCGTAATTTTATGTAATTTTAATCCATATTGGACTCATGTATTCGTACAACTTGAGTTTTTCATAGTTTTCCCAGCTTCCCTGCCATCCACCCCACTAAACAAGCATCCAGAAGCCAATATGGGACATCCACATTGAGTTTGTGGAAACTTGCCTGCGATCGCCACAAGGCAACTCTTCCAAGCAGCGGAGCAGCATCTCGCCCTGTCGTGGGAAGGGGGCAATGACTGTTAGCGGAATATCATGGTGATGATTCCCATAGCCATAGCCATGTTGAGAATGTTTCTGAGACTGCAGGGCAAGAGACTAGGGTGGCTTATATGGCAGCGGCTCAGATGATTAACCTCCCAAAAAGTGGATGATTGCAAACTATAACATCATATAACATCTAAAACTAAACTGACCAAATTTTGGATTGCAAACTGTGCCCTGGTTCGGTCGCCATGTGCTCCATTGGGAACCAGGGGCTCAGCCGCCAAGGACGAAACTGGAAAGTTTTCTGCTGCGCAGTTGTCCCGTGGTTGGCACCGGCTCGGAGCAGGGGACTGCTTTGCGACCTGCCTGGAGTTCGGATTGGTGCAAACCTCCTCGGGTTCCTTTCATATTTGCACAATACACGGATAATACCTGTAGTTTTGTATATTAATTATACATATATAATCATATATATATATGATTATATATATATGTACAATATACAATCACATACATACTGCACATTAATTACATGCACCCCTCTATCTTTGCATATGCACACTGACAGTCCAGCATGAAAACATCATGAAAACATCTGTGTTGTTTCTTGTTGTTTCTGTTACGTCCCCGTCCTTGTTGATCTGAGTGTGTTGATACCATCCCAGGTATCGGCGAGGTGAAGGTGCATGCTACGCAGCCTTGATCATCAGTGGTGAAGTCAAAGCCCCTGGGCGAAGTACAGCACGTTTTCCCTGTCTCCTGAGCCCCGACTCGATCGGACAAGGAGTGGTGACAACATTTTGATTGGCATGTGATATTTATATATTAATTATATGAGTTATATGGCTCAAAGTTACATCACCTAAAGAAATGATTAAAAACTTGGATGGCCAAGTAATTCTTCCACTGTAGAGCAAGGTATGTGGCCAAGGTATGATCAAATTTGTGATTCCATTTGATCCGAAGTTTGGGTCAACCCTCGGCGGCAGGTCTTCGCAGGCAACGAAGCTCATGAGTCCATCCAGGCATTCGGGATTGGGGAAATGATCTGTGAATGGGGGTTTCTTTTCATTGCCATGTTTGATAAGTGGGTAATAGTTGATATATGTTGATATGATATATATGATATATATATATATATATGTCTCTGTGTGTGTGTTGATATGTTGATGGTTTTACCGCTAATTATTTGGTGTTACTGGGATATTCCGATCCACCATTCATATTCCATCAACTGTACGATTTAAGTTATCAATTGGTGGAACATCCGTGAATATCCCAAAAATATTATGATTCACCCGCAAAATGGCAATATCATGCAATATTCCAAACTATGTTTACTATGGCGTCAAAGTTGGATGTTGCAAATAAATAGAAATGCACGAGATTGCGAATGTATGACCGCGATTCATGGGTATTTTGGGACACCGATTTAGTTGTTTTTTGGATGTGGTGTTTTTGTTGGGGTTTTAACCATGTTTAACCATTAGCCCAGGCCATCATAGCATAGATTGCCAGGGATTTGCGCCTCGCAGGGGCCATGGAGCTTCCTGGGCAAGCGATGCTTGGAGATGGTTCTGGACAACTTACAGCCGAAAGATGCACAGAAAGATGCGCCGAAGGAAGCAACTTGGATCATCTTGGATCGGGATGATCGGGTGAAGGGTAACTGAATCTGTGTGCGCGAAACTGCCACAGATTGAAAATGACAAGAGATCAACAGATTCCCTCTTCTTGTTCATGACCAGTGATCTATGGGTGCTTTGTTTTCCCTGTCCTCCTGCTCTGTCGATGCCAAAATCACTCCTCAGCATGTCCGTCAAATGTTTGTATGTGAATGAGACCAACAACTCAATGATCAGGAAGGAATTATACAGATAAATGATAATTATGATATATATATATATGTACATATGACATGTGACATGTGTATATGCGCATGCACTCTATATACAAAGTAAATTACACACACATGGCCGACACATCATGTTATAATGTTGATTCCATAGGTTCGATAAGCATCCACGCAGCCCTCCAACTTCAGGAGTTTCCAACGTCTTGCACTGACTGAGGCCAATTCCCGGGTGTACTATCCAGACTTCAGCCCCTCGGCGAAAAAATGCTGCTGATTTGGAAAGACTGGATCTGAACTTGGCGACATGGCTGGGAAAAGAGCGGTTCATATGTTCAACGAGACTTGCATGGCAGGTGCATACACCGCGGAGGCGAAAGACTCCATTGGTGGTTCCAGACTGGTGCTGATTACAGCTGAAGCTTATTCCAGCCTTTTGTCTAGTCTTCTTGGCAGCACTTTGAGGGATCTCGGGCAGTGCCAATGTTCATGGAAACAAAAGAATCCCAGTTGCTTTTGAGTCGGATCCAAATGGAAGTTTTTGAACAGCTTTTCCTTGACCAAACAGCAAGCGCAACTCTCATGGAACGGGCTGGTGCCCTTCACAGATCACTTCACAGATCAGCATTGTCATCGTCATTGTCATCGGTTTTGCTGATGCTTCCGTTATGTCTCAACATTTGAACCTTCCAAACTCTCGCAAAAGAGTGACACTTTTGTATAGTTTTCTTGTTTCCTGGTTTGCAAATAAATTGTACCTGCTATATGTTGGCAGGCCTAAAATGCCGATGGACCCCATATAAATCATTATAAATCCATCACCTTGACATAAAGCTGAGGCGTACGCACTGGTCTTCTAAGCCTGTGATGCCTTGCGGGCGAACTGGTCCTCCGCCTCCTACAGTCTGTGATTTCTGTCATTTCCGTGACATGTGGCACATGTGGTAAGAAGAATATAAGATCATATAATGTGATGACTCAGGACGAGATGAAGTCCCACTCATACAATTTCATACACAAGATGATAGATGATGATAGATTCAGATGATGATAGATGGCTCTTTCAGTCTCACATGTCCTCCGAAGATCTTTGGCTGCCAGAACTGCGGGGGGATGAGCTCATCCCCGAGGTCGCATAGCCGCAGGCACCGTAAACGGCAGCTTTCACGCTACGCCATACGAGCGGAAGCGTCCTCAAAAAGGCCCCGGCGTCCGGAACTGGAGACCATCTACGGTCATGGTAAGAATTGACTGGGGATCCGGGGATCCATGTCAGACATGTCATATCCGATTTCCCATCGTTTTTGTAGGTTTTTTTGTCTCAACCTTTGAACCTGACAAGACAAATCAAGACAGAAGGGTTGAAGACGGAGCAACTGCCGATAACTGCCGTATCTTCACCATGTCAAGAAAAAGAGGCACCCTGTGCTTTGGCCTGGCCTGTGAAAGATTGTGAAAGACTCCAACATAATTTCAATTAATATGCAGCACATGGATGGATTGAGAACGTTTGAGACTGTAAGGTTCAAGAACATATCATATGATATATTTATGCGTTTATACATGTATATATATATATTTATTTATTTATGTATTTATTTGTTTATTTATATTTTTTCATATACATGATACCATGAACAGAACAGGGAACACCGTGAATAAATAAAAACCTGGGCTCTCAACCGAGAAGATCCTTTTTGACGGTCTTGTTTTCACCTTTAGGACGAACAGCTTCTGTAGTGGTGCCAACGGGTCTCACCCAAACGTATGGTTTTGAAAAAAAAACATGATACCATACAAAACCCATCAAAATCAGGCCGTCAATGTTTGATTCATACCTAAACCGCTGAGTATGGCTGTGTTTATCGCCACTTCCCAAGCTGCCGGGCGCTGGGACAAGCTACTGGTCACCTCAACACCGATTGTTGTCACTGCCGGCTCCAGGCATTATCAATCATTATGGGCCAAACATGATTGATGGAGGCACGCTTTATATCAATCGATTATCTTCTTAGTTGGGAAAGGGGGTTGTGTTTCGCTCATGATGGTTCTTCCCTTCAATCTTCAGACAAAACGAGATTTCAGTGATGATGCTTGATAATACATATAATACTATGACGATCTCACTGGCCGGCACCATGATCCCACAATGGCATGTTTTAATGTCTTTAATGGGGTAAACGGTAAACCCAACAATAAACCCACCAGGATGATTAATTACTAGAGAAGATGGAAAAAGATATGGAGAGATCAGTTGATGTGTCAATGGCCTCAAACCTACTACGTACCAGCGCGATATTTGATTGCTAGGGGTGGAGTGCTATGGATTTCCAATGATTTCCCAAAGATCCTTGTGAACGAGGATAGGTAGACTCCTCCGGGGGGAGATGCCGGCGTTTGACATTATGTGCCCGGAAGCCGTGGTTTCAGCACAGTTTGTTAAGGATGGATGAGGATGGACGTTTGAATCGCATGCCTTTCTGGTATAAGCCCAGAATTTGCACAGGTAAAGCACTGTGATTCCGTGACGGCTGGATTTGCCAGGGAGCCAGGTAGATGATTTGGGGGCACAAGCATATCCCAAGCATGAAATTGCCCTTTTACTTCTGGTGGCTTTGTCCTCGCTTTCATTCTTGGGCACTTGTCAGTGTCTCTGAAGGTAAGATGTATCACCCTGAGGTTTCATGCTCACAGGTGCTGCCTCACTGGCTGGCTGTCTCTCATACACGCGTGTGTGTGTGTGTAAATATATATATATATATACATACATACACAAATAAGTATATATATATATGTTTGTGTGTGTATCTACACACATATCTACGTATAATATTTATACATATTTATAATCATTTATATATATATTTACATACAATACAATATATATATACATACTATATATATAATATATATTTATTAAATTCTATATTATATATATATATATATTTGTGTGTGACATCACGTATGCATATACGGATGTATATGGTGTTTTTGTTGAAAATTACCCCCAATTCAATAAAAGATTTATAACAAGATGGATGTTTGGGTATCTCTAACAGTTGTGTGGCCTGTCCCAAATCCTTGTTCTACAAAGCCCTGGCAGATTTCAGCTGAGGAAGTCCGGCAGACTGCCACCGCCCAATGTACAGGCAACAGGGTGTGGGTCCAATAGGTCCTTTGAGCCAATTAATCAGGGAACAGTCGCTTGGAACGTCCAACAATTGCTGGATAGTGCTTGAGAAATCTTGAGAATGGAAAAGGTCCAGAATCCGGGGTCCAATATTCCGACGGACACAGATGCTCTGGTAAAACTTGGTGTTTGCTTTCCCGCGAATTCATGGCAGATGGACGTTCCCAATCCAAATCTGTAGATAAGTGACGATTATGTCGACCGGTGGGTTACAGCCAGGAAGGCACCATGTTGCAGTCAAGGCCACTTGGAAGGTGGAGGTTTCCTGGTCTTTTTCCTGTGACTTGCCTGACAGGAGCCCAGTTGTGCGCAAAATGCAAGTTTGGTATACTTCGGCATTATGGTATTCTTATCCTTGAGAATCTTGCTCAACCAAAGAATAAGCTGTGGATCCCTTTGGTTGAGATGGGGTTCAAAAATGCCGCAAGCTAAGTTTCAAGCTAAGTTGAGGATCACTACTAGGCCCCTGGACCTCGCCGGCACCCGGCTCGCTCCAAGGGTGTTTCACAGGGCCCGGCGCAATTTCGGGGCTCGCCGTTCATGAGGCCAAAAAGGTACTGATGGATGCTGGTGCTTCAGCCCAAACGGGGAGGTGTGATGAGGTGTGCCATTGATCCACAAGCCACTGCTGTTGGTTAATGTTAATATATGTCAATTATACTGGCAAGATTCAGCTAGATCTTACAGATACAGTTAGATCAGATCTACTCGGACTTGATTAATTATATGTGCAAATAGTGTTGCTGATGTGAGATGTGTACCAAAAGTTGTTGGATGTGATTGGCTACTTTTATACGAAGATCATTTGCAAGGCCCACAACCCCAAGCTAGGCCCAATGCCACAAGCCCCACACCTGCCACGCCAGCCACAACATCAGGATCGAGAAGTGCATGAACCCGTGCCAGAGCGCACAGAACGCTCCTTGCAGGTGCCGAAATCATCGCCGGACTCGAAGCCATTCCGGGCGCTCAATGGCATGTGATAATATGTTTCAAGTGCCGAAGAAAGAGATCCGAGATGATAAGAGTTGGGAGCCTGTCCGAGAATTGGTTGACAGGGAGGTTTGAAGGACCCCCCAAACCAAAGCATGGCCGCCACAGGCATCTGTGAGCAGGATAGCCCAGGACTGGCTGCAGCATAACCCAGCATTTACCTGACATTTGTGGTGAGGGGCTTCGGATATGCCTTTAGCATGTTCAAGTCAGTAGATTATTCTGATGATGTTTTTGCATGCTATATCATATCATATCATATCATATCATATTATATCACATCATATCATATCATATAAATATATGCATATAATATATATATATATGTATATGTGATTACAACTATACATTGTATATCTGAATGCGATGAGAGAGTGAAAAATTATGTATATATATATATATATGTATGTATGTATATATGTATATATTCATCGTGTTCATGCTACAAGATTCATATGTGTATCATGTGTAATATTTAGCATCTACATGTACATTATATACATATATATATATTATATATGTATACAGTAAGCCTCAAGACTGGTAATTCTCACTCCGTTCTCAAAAAATCCCTCTTCCAACAGGCAGGGTTCAAAAACAATACACGACTTTGGAAAAGTGTTACTTTTTTTAAACATGGACTGAGGCTTACCAGGTCGTAATGTATAGAAATGTCTATGTTCCCCCTTTGATGCTAACTGGAGCCACTGCCAGGAGTCAATCTCCTTCGGACGTTTGCTCCAGGAGGCGCAAGACACGTTGAAGGCGACGGTGGCGACGGTCCAGGGGGTTTTCAGGGTCCGAGAATTGGACGAGTTGTTGGGTCAGTAATCAAAAAATATGTGTTGCATTGATTTATATTATGTTAGATGTCATGATAGTTCCCTATTTGGTGATAAATCATCGCCTCAAAGTTGATGATTCTTCTGAACTTTGGGTCCAACATCACTTCAGATGGTGGCCAAGTGTTGGTGAATGTTGGTGAACTCACCTTAAAAGCCGACAGAGGACTGGTAGCTTGCCCCAAGGGTTTGCATAATTGATAGTGCCCTCATGGCTAGCCAAGCCTTTTCTACAGGTGCGCGTTCCAGTTGAAATGGCTGATCCTGCCCAAACTTTGGCCCAAACTATATAACTAGCTGGCCATAGCTCAAATTATATTTATATATATTATATATATAATTACGGTATATTACCGTTCTACAGACGCCTTGTGTGGCCGCTTTGGCACTCCATTCCTAAAGTCAATCGCCACCGCATCAGGGCGCTGCAACACAGGCTACGGCGCCAACCGCTCGCAGGCATCTGTTGGATGTCTTTGGTGACGCCAAAAGTTGGTGAACATAAAGGCTCAGTGAGGTTTAATTGTTCCAGTTTCTGAGCGAAGTGTGGCACGAATGAGGCATGGAATAAGATCTTAACAGCAACAACGGGTTCCTGTTGCCATTGGTGGTGTTCAGATGTTTTCAGTATCAGGCATTTCTTATGTGCCATGCTACTGGTAGGTGTATGTGGGATGATGATCCCATTTGATCGATATTTTTCGTCTTTGAAACCACCAATCCCCACTTGCATGACTTTATAAGTACTGTACTTACAGATGACATTCCGACATTCCGGTCAAAATCCCCATTTCACAATCACGTATAGGGGATGGACGATTGTCGCACAATGTATTCAGGAGCCCGTTCCACAAACCTGACCGTCGGATGCTGAATTCGAGCCAGGCTACATCAGCATTTGGACGCGCTGGAAGCAAAGTTCCTTGGCCAAAGCAACAAGCTGCACACGTTCAATGAAACTCTTGCCAAGTTGTTTAAACTTTAGTTTAAACAGAACATATCAGAACATGGGTAATGGTGGTAAATCAAGTACTAAAACATTCCATTAACCAACCATTTGGGGTCGTTTTACATCATTCCAAATAGGGCTATACCCACTAATAAACCTTTATTGTGAATGGTTTATTGAGTTTACCACATTAATTATATAGTCAGTATATAGGGAACATGAAATAGTGAGCATGGCACCGTGCTACTTGTAGAGTCGTTTTGAAGGCTAGCCCATGCATGAGTAAGCCATAGGAAGACCATGCGTAGCCTCGCTGAAAGGACTCGCCAGTTGCGCGCAGATGCAGGTGGGGGGTTCGCCAGATAAATCTCAAAGATTTGACCATAGAAATGGGGTTCGAACCCACAAAAGTTTGCAAAAACTGTCAGAAAGGTGGAGCAAGGATATTGGCACTGGATGGTATTTGCTGACATATTTGAATCAGGCCAGGGATTGATGTTGCACTTCTGCAGCAAAATTGTTTGCAGGCCGCTCACAGATGAGAAGGAGCCCACGAGAGGTGGCCGAAGAGTGCAGGACAAATCTTGATACAACTTGGGGACTGAATGATAGTGATATGTTCTGGTAATCTAAGACGGCAACGGAAATCCACTATAATATATATATATATAAGTACAGGTTTTTAGAAAAAAATATGTTTTATGCATTTAATATATATATATATATATATATGCATATGTGCATGCATGTGTATATATATATATATCCATATCGAAATAGTTGTTCATTACGTCTCTATCTTTTTGGGGCTTTCTATGAGGTGGTTTCCGATCTTTTGTTGACCTGAAAAAATGATGCCTACATCTGTGATACAATATTACATACTGTAAGTTGTAGTTTGGAACGTGTTGAAATGTAGAGGACTGCCGAAGGGCAGGGGTTCGCTTCGGGCGTAAATTTTGGCTCGCTTCGGGCGTAAATATGGTTTTGGTTCGAGCGTAAATTTGGGCTCGCTTCGGGCGTAAAGTGGATACACCCCCGCCGTGTAGGGCTCAGAGCTAAACGGTGCTGTCTCTGGATGCGTGCGGGCTTGCCTAGGAGTCTCGATGTGGATATTTGTGGGGGTTTGCCATGGACGGGTTGCATCCATGTTTGCTAAAGGAAATAGACCCAAGAGCCGGGAACTATTACGGCGTGCCATAATGCAACTGTGCAGGGCGTGTCTCCTTCACTTCACGGTGTGATGCCCGAACTTTTCAAGGCGCATCTAAAAGCAACTGTGCTGGGCATGTCTTGTTTAGTTCCTACTGTAGTCTGATTTGCGACTCATATGGCGCATCTAGATGCAACTGTGCTGGGCGTGTTTCGGTACCTTCATGGTATGATTCGTTAACTTAGTACGGCGCATCTAGGTCTGCTATCGGGTGCCTGGTACTGTATGTGTCTTCCCACGGACAGGGATGATGTTGCGCGCATGAGGTATGACAGAATGCGATAGTATATGTCAGTTAGAATGCCGATTGGAATGCCAGATAGAATGCTACAATGTTGTATGTCAGATAGGATGAGTGCAACTACATATAAATCCTAAAGGTGTCGCGGCTCTTCTTACATTAAGTGTAACAACATATAATCCCTAAAGGTGTCGTGGCTCTTCTGACATGATGTGTAACAACATAGAAACCCTAAAGGTGTCGTGTTTTTTTACATTAAGTGCAACAACCTACAAACCCTAAAGGTGTCGTGGCTCTTCTTACATTATGCGCAACAACATATAATTAAACCCTAAAGGTGTCATGTCCCCGGTTCCATTACTTGCAATAACATAAAAACCCTAAAGGTGTCATGTCCCTGGTTCCATTACTTGCAACAGCATAAAAACTGGAAGTGAGTTGGAAGTGAGTCGAAACTGATAAACTGGGTGTTGGAAGTGAAGGCAAGGGAACCCGAAAGAAACCCCAAAGAAATCCTAAAGAATTGCCATTTATGCCCAAAGTGATCCCATTTATACCCAAAGTGAACCTCAAAAATTTATGCTCAAAGTGAGCCCCTTGCCACTGCGAAACCTTGTCCAGCAATTGGATCCCCGCGAACATATTGGGGCCATTCTGTCAACCCCAAGACGATCATTGCCAGGGGACACAGCACCAGCAATCCTTTGACCTCATCACACGTAGCTTGGCGGCTGCAAGTCTTCAGGAAGAGGATGTAAACAGTTGTAGGTCCAAACATGTCCAAACCAATCCCGGACCAATCCCCTCAATGTTTCACAGAACGGGCCATTGATTCAAATCACTCATGTTTACATGTGTTCATTGTATTTGTTCAACCAATGTCTTGGGGTGGCTTGGAAACATCAAGCCGCAACCCAAGGTGGCACAGGATGGCGCACGCAGCCGCGAACTTCTCAGCTGTAGTAGAGGCTTTTGGACAGCTCTATGGTTATGTTTCATTGATGTCGTTTTGCACAAAGACAAAAGGTGTGAAAAAAGAAAACATGTTGAGGGCGTTGCGAAATTTGACCCACCATGACCCACCATACCATTTGGTTCCCTTTGGCTGTTGGGAAACATTCATGTTCCCATCTGATTTTGCGTGATGACTTCTTGTTCATCAACAATGGGCATCCCTGGGTCCAACTGCCCGGCGGAAAGCCGACAGGATGCCGTCGCTGTAAAGCCGTGAGCTGAAGATGAAAAAAAAAACAAAGTTTGGAGCAATTCAAAATAGACTGTTTGAGAACAAGATTGGGCATCTAACATGGTGGACCATGCTGAACCTCTATTTTTTCGTGTTCAAAGCATGGGAGGATCAAGGTACATTAGAATTCGCTGGATAAGCGGAACACTGTACCAAAGCTATGAGTTGGCCAACAGGGTTCGCTCAACTATTCTGCGCTTCGATATTGCACTGTCGCGTCGAAGCTAATTTGCTGCAGGGCGGGAAATGGAGGCAGCTTTTCAGCAACAGCCATCAGGCATTTGTGGGGGAAGAGGCCAAATGCAGCACAAAGGTTCCTTGAGACAGGCTGATGAGTTTGGAAGAGATTCTCTTCTACCTTTTATATAAGTACAGAATTATATACTTGTTCAACATGACATTGTTTTTTCCAAACAGTTGCGGGAGACGCATTCACTGTTTGCCCTGAAGAATCATGAATGTGCTCTGCTGATGCTGGTTAAGCGCCCCACTGTTACTGTGCGTGCAGCTTAATGAGCCCCAGTGGCTGTCCGCAAGCTTGTGTCGTTTGGGTACGATGAAGGAGTCTTGCGGTGGATGTTATGCACTCGCTTGCAACTGGTCTATATAACCAGGGGTGAGCCCCCAGGAGGTACTGGAAGAATAATGATGAAGATGTAGCAGCTCCTTTTTGGGCCCAGGAAATCATCCCAGTTAGTAACTGGGTCCCTCAACTGCAGTGCTCCATCCACTGGCTTTGGGGTTATCCGACAGACGAGTCCTTTTGTATCCAAAGCTCCATCGTATCCCAACACACTGGCCTTCAAAGTCTGAAAAGGAGCCGGGTCCAGGGTGGCAGCGGCGTGGCGTACCCCAAATCGTGTCCAAGGAAGCTTCATCTGAATCTAAACCAGGATTTGAAGTTGGACGCCATTGATTTTCTATCCTTTCCTGATGAAATGTATGAATCTCAATAAGCATTACTGATACTTGGAGGGTCTGCCTTCAGACCCATTCGTTTTGTTGCCCGGTCGGACCTCATCCAACAATATCAAAATTATTGGTTATTGGCATTTAGGATTATGTAGGTATAGGTCAGTAAGTGTAGTGTATATCCCACTGCCGTCGCTGAAATATCCCTGTTCTGTTTGCTGAATATCCCATTTATATCCGTTCTGATCAAAGTCCCATTGTTGATCGAATCTTCCATCGCTGTCCAACCTCATCCTCTTTCAGGGCGGGTCTTGAGGTCCGACCTTAACCTCCTGGCAATTTGATATGGAAAATCCATCATTCAAGTTCCCTGATACTTCCCGGAAGTATCTCTCCATTCAAAATGGATTTCTTCCATTGCCATGTTGAAGTTCCGGAGGGTCGCCCGACCTGCCAATCCTGCCAGGGCCTTGCGACGATGGATCCAGCAAAATTTGTTGAAGCCGCCTGCCTCCGTAGGGAAGCCCTGGATCCAGTGAGTCGCTGATGATAGACTTAACATGGCTCAACATGGCTCAATCATCCAAGTTGTTTTTTTGGGGGGGGGAATTCATGTTCACATGGTTTTTCCATAAATACTCTGGATGTCCTTCAGAGCTGTTCTAAATTTGGGTGATTGATCGCCTCACTGTGTCATCCAAAATGGGCCATTGTTCATGGGGAAACCTATTAAACGTCATACAACCAAATTAAACCCATGGTTGGGGGTTAGATCTATTTCTCGAAACGCCCATATGGGGGAAGATATCGGAAGATTTGAAGAGATATTTGGTCGAGGTGATGCTCCTTGAGAGTATTCATCCCTGCAACCCAGGCACCAAGCACCCAGAAGGCCTGCAGAGTGATGCTTGTGTTGTGGCAAGTGGGGCTTGGCGCACCATGATGAAGGCACTTAGTTTTGCTTAGGTTTATTGATTTCAACAAGTGCAATTCATCACACTGCAAGGACAGTTGCCTCCCAAAAGCTGAGCAGATTTTGGCGACGGGCCGGACATCAGACCTTCAAGATCTGTCAAGGTCACTTTTAGTTACCTCGTGGTTGTGATGAACACAACCAACAGCATACTGCCAAAGTAGGATACAATGCAAGATATATAGAGCTCAAATATATACTGTAGAGATTGCATGAGGTTGCTAGCAGAAGGCGCATGGTTGTGTGAGCACATGAACCCCAATTGATACAGCTGGATGATCGGCCAGCATTGCAACAGATTGCAACATTACAACTCAAGTTTGTTCTTTCCACGATTCCATGGCTCCCAATATCTCCCCATCCTATCCAGAAACTCCCGGGCAACAAGGAAAATAGTTGGCACATGTTGGCACACCAATTGTTGTGAATCCACTGAACAAAGTTTGGAGGGGTTGGCCCCAAAAAGAACACCCAGCTGAGCAACCACTGGTGCGTTCCCTGTTGGCATTGTGCCCGGTGGATCCCGGTGGGATGTTGCACACCTTTCTGCTGGGGCTATGGCAACTGGCGCGGTTGCTGCTGTTAGTACAGCTGCTTGGGACTTCTGTCCTCTTGCTCGATGTTGCTAGGCTCAATATGGGCTTTGTTGTTCCATACTGTGGATGAAGTGGTCGATCATCATGTTATGTCATTTTTCCAATTACGGCAGTGAGGGAATAGTCCCGGCAATGAAGTTGCAACTTTTCCAGCCTCATCATTAGCATTGTGAAGGTGTATAGTGTATGTTAACATTGGTTTCCACATGTTTCCTCCCTTTGCATCGTCTACGACTTTGGAGACTCATGGTTTTCCCATTGTTCAAAGACCATACGTTGCAAAACCACCATATTCTGCTTCGGCGGGTGGCCCACCTTTTCCGCTTGCATCCCTGAAGGATGCGGACAACTATGGCATTCTGAGATTGGCCAGGTTCCTTGGCGGCCAGGGCTACGTCGGCTACGTCAGTTCCCTTCCTGGATGACCCCCACCGGATCATCCCCCAAGGAGTTCTTCAAATGTGCCCCATTGAGAAGGTAATTACCCCCAAAATCACATGGTTTATCATGATGTTCCCCGTGAACATCGTTATTTTATGTTCAAAACTGGGTGCTCTTCTCAGTTTTGAACATTCCCCAGATTCAGATCTCCCTGCGCTCCCAAGGCAATCTCCTGAACTCTTCCAACACCTCTGGTGGTGCTCAGCAGGGTTGGTGATCGGCCACTTGCCTTGGTACAGCTTGGGTTTACGTTCTGTGTTGGTTGGTGAATGGTATAGGCTACACACACAATGTGGTAGACCCAATGGATAACGATACATTAGTAAATATTGATTATAAAAGTAAGAGTGTTGCACTAATAATAGACTATATAGATATAATATGCATGGTGTAAAATTCTGTGAAATGTATGATAGATAATATAGATACTACTAGCACAATATATAGCGTAATTATACTTTCAAGAACAATGATACAGTAGTAAGCCATCCCAGGAGCCAACTCAAATAGGGGTCATCTTGCATCATCCCAAATATTTGCAAAATGAATGCCACAAACCAAAAGTGTGGGCTCACTGCATGACATAATTTATGTAAAAGGAATCTTTCAAATACCTGACATTACCTGACTCTAAATTCGCTTCTGCGAAGGTTGCCGAAAGGTTTGCCATGCTACATGGGAGATCCGGTTGCATCATCCCAAGGTTGCTTTCTAAGCATGGGAATGCTACAGGAAGACTCTGAGGCTGGGTCAATGATGGCAGCAGCAGAGAGGCAAAATCATTCGCAGGCTTTCGATTTGGTCATGGGGATAGTTGTCATCCATAAGTAGCCCATGGATCCAGGACAATATTCCGCATTGATGCATCATTATGTTAAGATATGTTGTAAATCATTGTAAATCCATGAAGAGGCAAGTATGGAAATATTTGTTATTATATATTATATATATAATATGTATATTAATATTAAGATATATAGACATATGCGTGTGCAAATGCATCCCTACTCGAAAGCCATCAGATTGTCAATCGGTTTTCTGGTGCCAAACATCAGTGCAATGCGATGGCAGTTGCGGCGGCACCTGGATCCTATGATCCCGGTGATGGCGTCTTGGAACCTTGCAGGGGCGGGTTGATACGGGCTGACGTGAGAAGACTGGAAGGTGAAGTTGAATGTACAGTGCAAATCTATGCATGCGTATAACGAGTGCATGAACTCAAGAGAGGAAGTAGAGAGACTTATATTTGTTCCAGCTCTACTTGGGTTTATTTCCAAACATTTTGTTTGAACTCCATGACTCTAGCTTAGGGTGGAGCAATGACATGGATCTTTGGCCGCATGCTGCAGCTTGATTTCAAACTGGGACTGTGGGAAGGAGACAGTACGTGGAGAAGGGGCAGGGCTGTAGCCGCTATAGAAAAGTCATAAGCAGAACAAAGACCTGGCGGACATAAATGGATGTTGATCTACATACCTTTTTGCATCACGGGGTGGGTATGCAGGACATGGGTCAGAATGGAAGACCCAGCGATGGCAGATTTGGTTTCTCTCAGCATGCATTTTCCCAATTCTTTGGGCCACTCCAGTTGAGCCAGGCCCATTAGTGCTCACGGGAAACATAGCCGTAGATTGTTGACCGAGCTGACAAGGGGTGAGACGTGAGATTTACCCGAGGCAATTTTCGGAGGAGCTGGCTCAGTCCAAGCAACGTTGGGAACTGCAACAAAAAAACATGGAACCTTTGCTTCAGGTGTGGCTTGCAGATGTGGTTGTGACTCAAATTTACCGACCAGTTGGGATACTTCAGTACTAGAACGGACCAACCGTTTTTGTTTCCGAACCTTGCTTTCGAGAAACCCCTTTGTGTCGTCAATTTGCCAGGGTGGTGAGCCATGACCACACCTTGCAGGCCAAAATGGAGGCGCAGAAATCCCGCGAAGATGCGGAAAGCTTCCGGAAAGAAGCAGAAGCACTAAGGAAGCAGGCGCAGCCAGGAAGGACCTGGCGAATAGCACAGCATAGCACAGCTGGGACCTGGAGAATAACGACAGAAAGACAATTTGAGCAGCGACACCCTGGTTGATTGCTGATTACAAGAGGGCTGAAGTACCTGATTTATTGGAGATTCTTGTGATATAGTATGACCATTTATGACCTATTTGGGAAACTCTTCTCAACCGACCAGAATAATGGGATGACAGAGGAGCCATCCCAGACAACTCAGGTGGAGGCCATCCAGAAGCAGGCTGCGAATCAAGCTTCCGAGCCTCTCAGCAAAGCCAAGCCCGTTCGTTTGGTATGACTGGCTGGCCGTTTGCCACATGTAGGACAGATCCAACATATGGATCCATGGGAAATTACTATGAACTTACCATATCTTACCATGGAATGTCTTACTAGTTATTGGTACCTTGGTACCATGGTAAAAACCATGGTAAAAACCAAGGCCCCCAGAGGTGACGTTTTTTCTGATCAGCTTAGGTACATGCGGCTGGATTCCGAGAACAGGTTTCCTCCCCACTGCCGCTGTTTTGCTACCCGGATGTTTGGAGTATAACCGTTGCCTGTAATTACTGTATATAGATGTATATAGCATCATGCAGCTGGTTCAATACACATCGCACCATTTCGACGTTACACACCACCGAGGACGAATTATACGTCATTGTGTATCTCTATGTTTTGATATGTTTTGATTATGTATACATATATATATATACTTAATTATAATTATATATATATACACAGTATTTGGACAAACACTGTTATGCCATCCACAGTTCAGATCATTCCCTGAAGCAACTAAAAGCGGTAGAGCCAAATAGCTGCTGGAAAGGGACTTCAAGATTTATTTGTCCGGGTCTATAGTCAGAAAAACACATAGTAGAACATGTCTCACAGGGTGGGCGTTCTTTCTTAGGTACATGCCCTCATGCCCAGGTCTCAGGTTGGCTTGATGATGTTTGATGATGCTTGGCAAAGTCCAGCACACGCCGCAAGCCTTTTCAAGTCCCACAAAGTAGGAATTCAACTGGGTCTCAACTACAGGTAGGCGAAACATAGTAAAACATGTTTGAAAAATATTGTGGCTGTTTTTGGCCCAAAGCTTATATAATTTCTCTGGTGGCTTGCTGTGAAGCCGCTCCTGCTGTCGCCTGCGGGGAGCGCATTGTGCGACGGCGGAGCGACTGATGGAGGGAGTGTCGGGGGAACAAGGCTCCGCAACGTATCCTGACAGGCACGTGGACTTGATGTTTTGATTTGTTGATTTACTGTAGATGTCAAGATATCTAGTAACTACTAGTATTCAGCTCTATATGGCATTGGTTCAGTAGTGAGATTCGGTGCATGCGCTGGTGATCAGTTGACACGACTACTTGGATAAAGTTCAAGCAGGTACTATACTGCCATTCGTGTGGTGTGTCCTCAGTGACTTTTCCTCACAACTACTTCTTAGTAGAACCGAGGGATTTTCTGGCAATGCTTGCCGTTATCTCTCAGCTTGTCCTCCAACTACCCTATCAAAAATAATCTGGAAGATGCCTGGAAACGCGTAAAACCTACCACCACCGGGCAATTCTCCATGTTCAGAAGCTAAGCACAGTGACATCGTGTGACATCCAAAGAAGAATCATCCAGATGCTATACTATGCATTACTGCATGGACTAAGGCACAGTACTGGCATGGCAGAGCCGAGCCCCATTTCCCAGGGAGCAGAGGCTGCGGCTCTGGTGCGGACTATTCTTCGATCGCAAGGTTACAGGTTTGTAATGATTGGCCCAATGTTGAAGGCCAACAGCTTTACACAAGCAGAGACTACCTGTGATTTCTGGTTTCTTGGAAGGATCATTCATGATCATTTGCAGGCACCGCAGTCAGCTGGGGCTGCGCCCTTTCAGGTGTGGATGATGGCTGATGGCACCTGCGACTTATGGTGATAAAATCGTTGTAACATATGTTAACATGTTGTAACAATTGGTTACTTGTGGTTGTATATATAGTAACTATTTATATGGGAGCTACAACATATTGTAACTATCCGGGCAAACCCCTCAGTTTGCCCGCGCCGACGCCGACGACATGTCCGAACATCAAAAAACACTGTGTTTTGTGGGACAAAATGCACATGTCCATGATCATGGCTTTCATCTTGCAACGCACAGCTTAGCTACCTGTGCGTTGAACTTTACAACATCAACATCATCATCATCATCATCACCATCATCATCATCATCATCACCACCACCAAACCCTTACTTATTGAAGATCTTCAATGAATGTAGAAGGTTAACGGGGGTGTGAGAATTAGACCCTTATTGAAGATCTTCAATGAATGTAGAATGTTTAACGGGGTGGGAGAATTAAACCCTTTTTGAAGATCTTCAATGAATGTAGAAGTTTAATGGGGGTGGGAGAATTAAACCCTTTTTGAAGATCTTCAATGAATGTAGAAGTTTAACGGGGTGGGAGAATTAAACCCTTATTGACGATCTTCAATGAATGTAAAGTTTAACGCGGGTGGGAGAATTAAACCCTTATTATTGAAGATCTTCAATGAATGTAGAATTTTTAACGGGGTGGGAGAATTAAACCCTTTTTGAAGATCTTCAATGACTGTATTAGAAGTTTAGCAGGGGTGTAAGAATTAAACCCTTATTGAAGATCTTCATTGAATGTAGAAGTTTAACGGGGGTGGGAGAATTAAACCCTTATTGAAGATCTTCAATGAATGTAAATTTTAACGGGGGTGGGAGAATTAAACCCTTATTGACGATCTTCAATGAACGTAGAAGTTTAATGGGGGTGGGAGAATTAACCCCTTATTGAAGATGTTCAATGAATGTAAAAAAAAACGGAATTTATATTGGAGGGCTATTTTTTTGGGGAATGTTTTCCCGTTTTTTTTTGGGTGTTTTTTCCCGTTTTCTCGTGGAAGGAAGGTGCGAGGAAGGAAGGAAGGAAGGAAGGAAGGCAGGGAGGGAGGGAGGGAAGGAAGGAAGGAGGGGAAGGGGAAGGGAAAAGGGAAAAGGGAAAAGGGAAAAGGGAAGGGAAGGGAAGCTTGCCAATGCGTTTGACTGTCTTTTGCACTTTGTTTTCACATCTGCACCGCAACAATACACAAAAGAACGCAACGTAACAAGAGCAGCAGCAGCAGCAGCACCACCACCACCACCAACAACAACAACCAACAACAACCAACAACAACCACAACAACCACAACAACAACAACGACAACAACAACACCAACAACACCAACAACCAACAACCAACAACCAACAACCACAACCAACAACAACAACAACACCAACAACACCAACACCAACACCAACACCAAACAACAACAACACCAACCAACCACAACCACAACAACAACAACCAACAACAACAACAACAACACCAACACCAAACAACAACAAGAACACCAACCAACCACAACAACAACACCAACAACCAACAACCAACAACCAACAACCAACAACCACAACCAACAACAACAACCAACAACCAACAACCAACAACCAACAACCAACAACCAACAACCAACAACAACAACAACACCAGCAACAACAACCACAACCACAACCACAACAACAACCACAACCAACCAACACCAACCAACCAACCAAGCAACCAACCAACCAAGCAACCAACCAACCAACCAACCAAGCAACCAACCAACCAACCAACCAAGCAACCAACCAACCAACCAACCATCCATCCATCCATCCATCCAACCACAACAACAACAACAACACCATGCAAATCAGAGAGCTTAGCTACAAAACGCTGCAAATACCAATCAAAACCATCAAACCCCAAAAAACGGGAAAAAAAAACCCAAAAAAAAACGGGAAAAAAATCCCAAAAAAAATTGCAGCCCATTTATATTCCTTCAAAATCCCTAAGAAGTTGTGTGGGCGAATTGTGGGGTTTGCGCGTAACTATAGTCATCATTGAACATCCTTAGTGACTTATGTATACTTATGTCTGTATTTTTTGAGCACCCTGAAAGAGTGTCTCATTACAAAAGTCTCAATGATGAAGTGAACTGGCATACTGTCAATTTCCCATCATCCAATGTTGATATAGATACATTTGAAGAAAACAACAGAGGGAAAAAGTATCAGCCAATGTTTATTTATGAAACAATCCATGATACTTTACAGACAGACCAAGGTTCAAAGGGCAACTCATCAAATCAGTCTTCTAAAATTCTAAAACTGGAGGATGGGGATGATTACCATTATGTACTGATTCATCAAAGAATATGACAAGTTGATAGGAAGTCAAACCAACGAGCACAAAGCAAAACTCCATCATTGTGTTCACTGCCGACACGGTTTTCAATCACAGGAGCTTAATCATAATAGTATTATCTTAATTAAAGAAACATTATGAAGCAACCACCCGCCCAAAAACAAACATAAAACCCTAGCCACCTCAACAATTATCCCCCTCATTCGAACCAAACAATGAGAGCGAAAGTTCGTGGCAAAATTGCCCCCAACAAAACACATAGAAACATCAAAGGTTTAAAATGAAACATTGAACAACAACATAAAAACCATAGCGGAGAATGAATGCCGGGATGTCCTCGCACAGTTGCGACAGTTGTGAGGCGAACTCCTGGGCTGCACTTCCCACAGAGCATGCAGAGGCTGAGGACTGTTCAATCATATTTGGGATGACGGTCCCGAATGACTATCCTTCCTGGTTTAAACCAGTCATCTCGGTAAGGGATCATGTTCTTTGATACTTAGGATATCTCTGACTATGGAGAAAAAATGAGAAAAAATGAGAAAAAGGCAGTTTACAGCAAACTCAAATCGACCTCACCAAAGATGGTGGTTGGCTTGTTGAAAACCACTCTTCAATGTGAATGTTATTTCTGTGCCGTCACTTCTTGTATATAATTTGCCCAGATTGTGTGGTTTCGTTCTGTATGCCAACATTGAGATAGATTTAGCAAAATTATCCAAAGTTTACAAAAGTTTGGCGCGCCAACACTTACCACAGAAATTATCAAGTGCTGCATGTAGGTTTGCAATGCATTACCATAATGGAATTGGTTGGAGGCCGTGCGAAGATCCAGGAAACGATGCAATGATGTTTATACGCGTCTTCGTGTATCATCGACGCTGACGATACATGTGCATCTCACCTCAGCAACGAATTGTATTTATCTGAAATATGGTTTCTACAATTGTATATTTAAATTATATATGATGTGTGGCATGGCATGGAGCAACGAATTCATCTACCAACGCATATTATGTTGACACCTCAATTGATGCATGCCTCATGGGTGAAGGACTTTTCCTCCGAGCCACTGGAGCAGCGCTTGAAGAGCAACGACCTCTCCCGTCGCTGCAGTGCTTATGCTGATGCTCAGGCAGCGAAAATGGATGGAAATCGGATGAATGAGGATATGTGGGCTGGGGATATGCCAAATCACTTCCCATCACTTCCCATCACTTCCCTCTTAGTTTTCAGGGTCCAAGACAGCAAGGAGACTGATGAGGAAGAAAGTGGGCTAAATGTGTCCTGCTTTTGTTCTGATTTTGAGGTCAAGATTGCGTTGCCTTTGCTAGTTCCACTGTTTACGGACTGAAGATAAATCAATCCAGAGCCTCATCGGACTCTCGCAACAAGAACCGACCCTTTTTTGTGACCCTCGCCTCACCCAAGAGCTCAGGCTAAAATGGATGCTGATGGCGGCGATGAGATTTTTACTCTCTTCGGTGCTCATGTGGAGACTGCCTTAGCGGAGACCTTACCCAAGGCAGCTGGATGTTGTCTTAGTTGCCACCTCGACTTGCCATGAGATCATGAAGAATCCATCTCAGTTATTTTGGTCAGCTCGATTTCGAGACGTGTCAAAAGAATTTGCAAAACAACCAATTGAGAACCTTTCGCAAGTGGTACCTGTTGATGGAAAGATAGCCTGGAACTCTGAGCAAATGAGTTTGATGCATCTACCATTCAGAATTGCCATGTTGGGGTTCCATCATGTTCCATCATGTTCCATCTCAGATACGTTTGGAGTGTGGAAACTTCATGAAGTTTCCTCATCCAAAGTTGTGGAAACATGTTCTGGCCAGGGGCAGGATGCTGCCTTGAACGTACCTTGCCTTAACCATTTGCCCATCGGGATGTGTTGGCCCGTTCACCACTGGCTGGATGTTTCCAGTGGCTGAACCTGGGCTATCCCCCAACCAACTCATTTTCAACAGCATGGTCAGATATTGACCACCTATTTGTCTTCACTATCCTTTTCTATGCACTGTCAGGACATAACAAACCATCGCCAATTTACCCAAATTTCCTCTTTGGGGTATTTTGAAAACAAGCAGCCCAAAAGTTGGGTTTGTTGCTGGGTTTACCATATTGATGAAATCTATATTCTCCATCCCATCCTCAGAGGGTCACCGATGCCCAAGGCCCTGGCAGCTTACTTGAAGCATTGCCCTGGCATCGATCAGCGTAGCAAAGATGTGCTGCCCTGGGTCACTGGACATTCCGAAGTTGGTGATGGCTTCGGTGATGATTTTGGCATATGTTTGTTCCATATAGCTGTCTCCGGTGGTTGGTGACCATGGTGAAGGCAATAATAAGCCGTTTCCATTGTTCAGAAATGGGTGGCATAGACCATCCCCATTTCAAGTGTCATTCTGGCTCGAGAGAAAAGGGGATGATCAACCAACAGCAACCCGATACTCAAAAGCCCAAACATGTGATGTTTTCATGCAAACTTAATCGCCAGCTAGTTGAAACTGCATGTTCAGCCCATGCTTGAGTCATATCCAACGGTGCCTGCCATGTTTATAGCTGGGACCACCAGACGATTAATGATGATATGAATTGATATGATATATATATATACATATACATATATATATATACATACATATATACATATATATCTATACATATATAAATATACCTATTTATTTATTACATACATACATACATACATGATCATACATGTGCATGCACATTATACATTGTACATCATGCATGATACATTGTACACACGTACAGTACGTTTAATATTGCATGTGTATGTATACATGTTTTGTGACTCCACGACTAAAACTCCAGAGAGGTGCCAGCCAAGATTCGCCTCCAGGTTCGAAAGCTAGCGGAGCACAAGGTCCTGGGGAATGATGATCAGTTCTTTTATCTTATGGGAACCTGCCAGATGCCACCGCAGTTGACTGATATGCATGTTTCATGGTCTTCATGCGGATGAGTTGAAACCAGCAGGCCAAGTCAGCTGCAGAGCCCCCAATGAAAAATCATGTTGTGACATCCTCTGTCAAAGTTGACTGTCACTGGTGTGCCGCGAAGTGTAGCATTTTCAAGGATCCACTTGATGATGTTGAGGGGATATGCTCAGCCTGGAGTTTCTGAAGGTGATTGTTTTTTTCCTGATTGTTTCAGATTATATAGATACAGTAATCCGCCATTCGGGGTCTCTACTGGGACTTCTGTTTATGTTTTTCTGACTGCCCCGAATGCCCTGAGCAAATTCAAGTGATTCAAGTAAGTATGCTACATTGGTTCATGCCCCATTACTTGTGCATTCACGTACTGTTTTTTTTCCGCACGCAGTATATGCTACCGTTTGGGGCGTTCGTGTTCCCATCATGCTATACTGGCCTCCTGCAGTCCATCGACAAGCCAAAAATGCAGCAATTGGCGCCTGCGGTCATTTTGCTGATTGCAGAGATTGCAGACCCTTGGCATGATGCAGCCTGCCCGAGCCGCCCTAGCGATGGTTAGAGCACCCAACTAGCCACCAGAAATTGAAAGTATAACAAGTGTATACACATCTATTTTTTTTGCATGTTGAGGTGTTGTTGGTTTACGTCCAGTCTGTTTTTTCTCCAGTCTGACAAGAAAAGCCGTTGGTAAAACGCTTCACCTTCCTTGATAGCGCTTGGTAGCTGAGGAATGCCCAGCAGTCCTTCAAGAGTTGACCAATTGCCTCAGTGATTTGGAAGATGCCAAGCGTCTCGGCAGGGATGTCCATTTGGCATGTCATGAATCCTATGGCAGAGGGTGGCAAGAGCTGGTGGTCGAGCTTGGAGTAAAAAGACTCCCATCCATTGTCATCAAAGTTCCACCGTAACTAACTAGTGTGATGACATGTGATGATATTCCTTCGCGCGGGGTAGGCAGGGTTCCAATGTTGTTGTCCACTTCAAACTGTTTCCATAGATTACAAGCTGTCATTGCGGTGGTGCAAACCGCATGCTGGCGCCTTAGTGAGCGGGCCAGGGCCAATTGATTTTTGGGGCTAAGTTGACAAAAAGGGCTGCATTTGGTACATTCCCTCAGGCCTTGCATATGCCTCGCATAACATGGATAAAATTGATAAATATTCCATTTAGATGCCAGAAATAGCTTTAAAAGAAAGTTCTGCCAACTGCCACCATCCACGATGGGCTTCTTTTTTGGATAAGGAAGAAAAACGCGGGCTTCTTAAAGAAGCAAATAGCCTTCATCATCAAGTTGGTGGGCCTCTCGGCGGGCATTGTTGCTCCACTGCCTGTTTTTCTGGGAGTGCTACCTTGGCCTTGGCCGTTCACCAGTTGGGACGCTGCACTTTTGGGAGTAGGAAGAGTTAGTGTTGTTGAAGTTAATACGTGTTTTCGTGATTCTTTTTTCTAGAGGCTTATTTTTCCTAGTGTGGCACGAAGAAGGTCAAAGAGTACTTCACAACTTCTTCCTGCATTTTCGCCACTAATTCCATACTTGTCCTTGTGTCCAACATCCGATCCATCTTTGAGGCAGTCTGCTGGCTGACTTTGGAGTGAAGAGGATGGCACCAAAGCTCGGATATTTAAGCACCCGGGCGGAATAAGCTATGGAGAGTCCCTCAAATTCTATGAAGTGGAAGAGAGCTATGCACACTAATGTGCAAATCAATGTCATGGTTCTTGAAAACCGGACAAGTTGGTTTGGAAAGCCCCCTCTGCCTGCTTTCACTAGCGGATCCCAGCCTTCCGTCCTCTTCGCTCAGAGCCATTTGAGGCTTTGTGTTGAAGTATATCTCAGATAGCGATCGCGGCATCAGGGAAGCTTGTTATGGTACCTGGCCTGCAAAGGCATGTATTCATCTAGAATAAATTAGATCATCTATTAAATATCTATGGCACAGTGGGAATGTGACACTGGGATGTACCCTCTTGCAGACTACAAGATTTTTTCGGATGGTGCTATTGTATATGTTTTCTTGCAGTTCTGCTCAACAAAGTCTATGGAGTTCCAGTTGCACGGCATTCCGAGGTGTCTTCGTGGAACTCGCTGCCTGGGTGGGCGACATCTCCGATTTGATCAAGCCGATGGATGAGCCACAGAAGAAGGAGGTTCGGCGTTCGCTTGTAGGTGGCATCTGGTGGCTGTATCTGCAGCAGTGATCAGCTGGTGCATCATGGTATCTCATGGTATATGGCTATGGATCAATACCTATGAAAATAGCATTTTTAGGGGGATGAACATCCATAAATCCCAGCTATTTTGATGTGAACTACAGGGGTATAGGGTTTTGACCCATATCCATATCATGATTATCATAAAGTGGTTGATTGGGGCGAGCCCTGGCCTTGATTCCGTTGGACAATGGTCCCTACTTGGACAAGTTTGGGGTGGTGCTGTTCTGGTCCATGCATGTCCCGTGCTTTCCTTCAATCAAACCATACACCTCAACAGATTGATTCATCCATTAGTATCTAGAATGTATCTGGACACATTGACAGATAGACACATATATAGATAGATATGATAGATGCAAATGAATGGAGAATTAGATGACACTGGCCGAATGTCAACCCTATGATTAATAAACCCCATTTTTGTAATCATGGGGGGTGTACCCCCAAATAAATAGTGAGAACCATCGATAATTGTTAATTAGTGAGTGATGGTAACCCCCCCCCAAAAAAAAAGGTACCCCCAATTAGTGATGGGCCCTAAAAAGAGCGCCCACTACTAGTAATCACTAAATAGTGATCATCATTACATTAAAATGGAATTATCAATGATTACCGCAATTAAAACGTATTAAAATGGGATAGACAATTTTATATCCTATCAGATATTATGCTGGACTGTGTCATATCCCTATGTATTCAATATAAATGAGTGATATATAATTTAATCTCATTGATGGGGTGGTCCATGATAGTCATTGATGGGATAATCATTGATACTCACTAGTTTGTCATTTATTCATATTACTATCCACTTGGAGGTGCGCACATAAAGTAGATGGAGTAGATGCGATTGCACTGTCAGAAATAAGTTGTAATCACATTCAAACGGGATGAATTATCCATGATTATGACTGAAAATTCATACCAAAACCATGGGAGAATCACCATTAATACCATGGTATTGATTATAGATTATACTTATGGGATAATTGTTCACAAACTAAAACCATTCACGCGGGTAAAAACCCGCAATACAAAATGCATATGGGTGGGGTGGGGTGGGGTAATAACGTTCATGTTAACTTGCGCACCGACGTCATGCTACGCTAGCGTGATCTTCTCTTGCGCTTGCAGACACACGTCATGCTACGCTATGGTGGGGTGGGGTGGGGTAATAACGTCCATGTTAACTTGCACACCGACGTCATGCTACGCTAGGGTGATCTTCTCTTGCGCTTGCACACACACACGTCATGCTACGCTATGGTGGGGTGGGGTGGGGTGGGGTAATAACGTTCATGTTAACTTGCGCACCGACGTCATGCTACGCTAGGGTGATCTTCTCTTGCGCTTGCACACACACGTCATGCTACGCTATGGTGGGGTGGGGTGGGGTAATAACGTCCATGTTAACTTGCACACCGACGTCATGCTACGCTAGGGTGATCTTCTCTTGCGCTTGCACACACACACACGTCATGCTACGCTATGGTGGGGTGGGGTGGGGTGGGGTAATAACGTTCATGTTAACTTGCACACCGACGTCATGCTACGCTAGGGTGATCTTCTCTTGCGCTTGCACACACACGTCATGCTACGCTATGGTGGGGTGGGGTGGGGTGGATATATATATATATAATTATATATATATATATACATTTTAAGATATCCATTCATTGACTTTTACATATGCTACGTATCATTATTTAAGCTTAGGATATGCGGGTTTCTCATGCCATTCTTGGAGGGTATATCCCCGCTTTGCCGCAAGCAAGACATTTGCGCGTCATGCAAAAGCTTGAAACTTTGATGCTCTTGTATATGACGACTTCACTTCTTCAAAGCTTGTCACTTCTGTAAACATAGATTGATAATTTTGCGGTGCCTGATTTTCACTTTTCTGAACATGAAGTTTGATTTGTTGAAAGATGAAATTTGTCTGCATGATGAGGCAAGCTGAAATTATATGGGAAAACGCAGGAAAATTAACATGCAAATGGCTGCGGAACATGAGTCATAAAATCCAAGCAACAAGAAAAAAATGCTCTGATGCACGAAACGACGCGGGTTTCTATCCGCGTGAAGCCTAAACTAAAACTATGATGATTGTGGGATAAACATTGAATAATGATCACTGTTGATAAAATTGTATTTTTAAAATCGGATGAATTATGCATCATGATTATCATTATATATATATATCACTATAAAACTTGGCAAAATAGTTTAATATCCCATTGATATCCCCGTTTTATCATTATATAAGAAGTAACCCCATGCCCCTACATAATATTCAACACCCCCTAAATGGTGCCAATTATGTGGAAATTCCCTACTAAACCATAGTTTCTAATGAAGTGTTTAATATTAGGGGGATGGGAGTATGAAATCAGCACTATTCAAATTACTAAATATGAACTCATGACTCTTAAATCACTATATCATATGACATCATATGATTATATCCCATCATATTCCATCATTTTTCATAGTGAAATCATCACAATTCACGATGGAAAAATCCATGGTAGGCCCGGCCCCTCCCAGGGGATCTGGTCCTGTGGCTCCAGGTGGCCAAGCGTTTGGCCGAGCCGGAACGTAAGACGGAGCCGCTACGGCGCTATCGAGGCAAAGGGTGTTTTTAGCTTGGATGAAGAACTTAGTTATGCAGCCATGCAGTAATTAATCATCTTTAACTAACGACATACATATATGTATATTTGATATGATGATATAAAATGATTGGAAGATATCAACCAACCATGCCGTAGACTTAATATGTATTAGTTGGATATGGTTAGAGTATGTAATTAGATGTGCAGAATGCGCAGGGAAATATAGTTGAATGTAATTATAGTTAGATAAGTTAGATATAGATACTGCAGATTTGGCTGGTTCTGGCTGGTTTAAAATGTGTGAAACAGGTTCATGTGTTTGGACGATTCACGGAACCACAAATGTGAAGGGGATAGCAATGGAGATTGGGGACTGCCATGAATTCCTGCTACGTTCGCTTCAACGAGGTTCAAACCACCACGTTTGGAAATCGAAGCAACGCAAAAGGGATGTTGGCCACCTTGAATTGGGGATGATAGAAGCATGTAACCACTTGAACTTGCTGGGTAGTATACGGGGAATCAACGGCCATGATTTTATGGGTGGTCAAAAAAATGAAGTTGCCAGCGGGTTCTAAGGTGGAGACTGGGAGATATGGAAGATAAATAAAGGCAGATGAATCACCGGTACTGTGGGTTCAAGCAATCTAACAAAACATATGCGGATTGGACTCACCAAAATAAGCTGTCAAGCCTTCAAAGTTGGGATTTGAGCAGAAAATCATCAAATCACTGGTGTGGGTCAAGACTGGCCCAGCTCACAGATTTCCACTTTGGGGTTTAAACCATCCAAATTTTGGGGTGCCATGGGGTGCCCAATCACTCTACCGACGTAGCACAGGAGAAGCAGCCAGCTCCGGTCCTGCCGCGGGAGCTTCCAGCAAAGCTACAGCAGGTGCAGTTGGCAGACCACTGAGATTGGGATGTCAAGTTTGTCAGCTGCATGCCGATTGTAGGGACAACCCGGCCTCTTTCTCAAAATGGGTTTCTTCTTAAATTCCCGGGTCAAATTTTTGGACCCTTGAAATCTGCCCGATCTGCCCGTCATTGCCGGATTGTGGTTCGCAACCGAACTGCAGCCACGGTGCAGATGACATTTTCGAGAAAGTGGATCCTTTCAAGAAGTTGCCCAAAGGTACTGCAGCTGGGCAAACCTGGGTTTGGTTAGTTGATTGGCCGATGTTTATCGAACTAGAATCCAGGGATGAACTGGTTCACAGTGGCATGTGAGGCCTTTGCGCGCCTTCACACTCTGAGGATGCTTTACAGTTGAAATAGCCCAAGCCTCCCCAGCCCTGCGCCCAACTGCTTATGGCATGTCAGGCTGGTGCATCAGTGCTGTAACCTCTATGGAGAAGCTCGGCCAGCAACGACTAGCGTGAAGCTGTTGCTTGTTGCATGTGACGACTACGGATCAAGATCATTGAGCCCTCAAAACAACGGAGGCTTTGCAGGCGAGAGAGAGAGAGAGAAAAAGAAAAATGAAAAATGAGAAATAGAAGACATTGCAGAGAATGGTCAAGTTTGTGGGTCCATTGGTGTCCCAATTTTGATCCATGCCCAATATGCAGCAGCTTCTTGGTTGGGCAAAACCATGGTTGACACCAGAGATGCCCAGGAAATGGAAGGAGAAGCTGCAGCACTTGCAGGCTCAGCCCACTGGTATTACTCGCTCACGTCGAGCATGCTTGAATTGCTGGAGCTAAGCAATGTGAATTGGACTACATTGGATTGCTGTTCCTCCAAAGAATATATAAATAGATTGAGACATTTGAAACCTGGTGCTTTTGGGCCACCAATTTATATAGAGGTGTCTGTCTTTAAGATCCGTTCCATCTCAAGTGCTCAGCTGGGTCCAGCTGAGCAACCTGCAGGTGCTTTCTTCAGTGCTGGAAGGTCCAGCTGATAGACATCTGTTGTCACCTTCTGAGAACTATGCCTCCAGGCCAATATTTATGCTCCGATCAGCGTCATGGATGGTCATGGATTATATTTGGCAAGGTGTGGAGATTGAGGCTCAAATGGTCAGACTGTGCTGATCGTGCTAAACTCTCCATTTTTATGCAAAGTAAGAACTATGGATCATCATATTCCAGGTAGATCTCCCTCCTATGGGGTTGGGGGCCAACATGTTCTCGGGGTCGGATACCTCACCTGACCTGTGCCAGCCACATGAGTCTTGATGGAGGTGATGTCATAGAAGGGTCAACTGGGTTAGGGGAGGCATTTCATCGTTCCATATTAAATATATTTCATTTTTTTCTATATATATTATAATACTTATTATAATCTATTAAAAATTACTAGGTATATTTATATAAATACTTATATATTATAGTCTATTAATAATATATCTCCATATTAAATTCTTATTAGAGTATATTAGAGTCTATATCCCCATTGGTTACTGTCTTAATTGCAGATGAAGGTGAGCAATGTCAATGCGTGTCGATATCCAAGGCATCCTTGATCCCCACCATGCAGCGGATGCTCAAAGGCCCGAATCCCCAATGGTTGGGCCACCCTTGTCGCGCAGTACTGTTTGTAGGAGCAGACCCAAATGCATTCCAAATCCCGACAATAGCATCAAACATGTCCGTTGGCAAAGGAGCTAGTCAGCTAGTCTTGATGGTTGCATCTATATGGGGGCACAGTGCTGCAAGAGTCCCAACGTAGTGGATGAGTGCCAAAATCTGCTGCTCTGACTATGAGCAAGCTGTTCCACACAAGTTATATAAGATCCTACACAGTTCTCCACCTGGGCGAGTTGGATTTTGATGGCATTTTTGCCTGGGAGTTTTTCGGGTTGAACAATCAGGGTAGAAACAAGAGGAATTACCATCCAGTAATCAAACATGGCAATGGAAAATCCACCAGTTATAGATTATCATAGGTGATTTTCATTGATTTTCTCATTCAAATGGCCATTTAGAGGGGATTTCCCTTTGCCACGTTTGATTACTGGAGGGTTAGGCATCGTGACCCCGTTTGAATTCCAGTGCCACCAGCTATAAGACGATTGAAAGATTCAGCTCGTCCACATCAAATACACAGCCATGAAATTATTTATATTGACACATTATACAGTATACAGTATACATATATAATAGGCATGTCTATTTATTCATTTACCCATATGCCATGACATGGAGACAGGGATACATGGATTTATGTGTTCATTTGTTTTTGCTATCAGGTGATTTAGCCATGAAGTCCTGTTGGGATTTGGCTCAAGCGTTTGCAGTTTACATTCGGGACTACTTCAGAAGAGGAAGCTTGAGATGCATGTGAGGGGGGTGGCCATGCCCTCATTCATGCCCTGAATTTGGCGCCAGCTTATGCATGGGCAGGTTGGTTCATAGATGTTCCAAATGTTTGCATGAAGCATCGCCATGCAAGCATGGCTGAGAGACAAGCCATTAAACGGAAAATCATCAGCGAAGGGCCCAAACCCTCGGTGATATGTTCATCATCCTTGGGACCCCTGCCAAGCAATGGAAATCATCCACAAGGTTTTGGACATTGTTCCAGTGCATGTGGGAATGAATATCGGAAACGTGGTGCCAGGCTTTTCACTGCCAATTTGATGAACCATTGCTTGAAACACCTGTATCCTTCGGTTGGTTTAAGGATGTTGGAACTTTAAACACCTGAGAAAACCATGATATCATTGATATCATCTCAGTTTGACTGTAGGCTTCACTAGGCTTCAGTTGCTAGGCCCTTCACCAAGGCGATCATGTTCTGCTGCTGTGTGGCGGAAGACCAGGGACCAGTGGCTGAAGTGAATGTGACTCCTATCATTCAGGAGCCCTGGATATGACGCTGCAAGAGGTCGACCTTGATATATTTGAAATTCAAGAGCAGGCAAAAAATCGAGATGGAAAGCTACATCCAATGAGAAGTGTAAATGTCCAAACATGTCAACCCCCATATTTTGGGTGGGTCCTTGGAAAATCTTTCACAAAAATCGTCCAAGCTGCCGATTGCAGGGAGATGTGCAGCCAGTTACGCAATCGAAGGTTGAGGTAACGGCGGAAACCAAGGCAGGTGTGGAAGAGGCCACTCGGCGCCGGAGACATGACATGTCTGAAGGTTGGAGCTGAATATGAATATATATATATATATACATATGCATATGGATTGACATGGATTGGCATCCCAATGAAATAGCAATTGGCAAGTCTATACCATTCTGTAACTACTGGGAAGTCGGATTGTATTATTAGGGATAGTCATGGGTTAACCCCATAGAATATGGCATGTTATGGCAATGTTGGATCATTGGAAAAACAATGATGAAGCATTGGAATTTTGGTGGGTTGGTTGAACAAAAGCGGCCTCAAAACAACGTCACTGTAGATAATGATAAGGGTAACCATCCCCAAATCACCTCACTTCAGGTTGGTGAATTATTCTAATTCCGCCTGAATGTGTCTAATTCAATAAGTTATATAAGTTCAGTGTGTGTTGTTTTCCTTGAACTGACGGTTTTTTTGATACATGTACCATCTGGTTATTTAACATAGCCATGGAAAGTCACCATTTTTAATAGGTAAACCATCTACAATGGGTCATTTCCCATGGCTACATTAAATAACCAGACGGTATAGAGAGGTTTTTAGAGGGAGGTGCGTGCCAGGCCATGCAACACATGTCACAATCAGCGGCAAGGCGACGGCGGCTACGGTTGCGGTGCCGGTTCCAGAGTTCGGGACCTTCACAGTGCCTTCGCAAGAGAGTGGTGGTAGCCTTTGGTAATCAAACATGGCTAGCTGGAAACCCCCCAAAATATATCTATGATTATCTATGGGCATAATAATTGGAAAAAATATCTATAAACGGCGGGGTGGTCCATTATTTGATTACCAGAAGGTACCATCCCTTGTGTCTCGACGGTTTGAAATATCTATCAGCTATCGAGATGTGACCGGGCCATGTTTGCCGGACTTCAGTTGGTGCTTTCAACCCTTCTTGCTTTATGTCCCAACTTTTGAAGATGAATGGCTCAACCACCAACCAATATGGTTGTCGGTTGTTATACGACCGTATCCCATGACATTCGCAACTTTCATAGACCACATCCTTTCACTATGCTGTCCGCTGTGCGTTGGATGGCTCCAACGCGAATAGGTTTCAACAAATCACCTTCAGATACTTTCAGGATATTTTAGGTGATTAAGGCATAATTATTAGGGCTACATGAAAAACATTGAAAAACGATATGAACTCACAGGAATTTCCCTCCATGGTTTTCGAGTTTTTTCAAGGCACAACTCGTGACCATCCTTGGGGCCCAGGTGGAGCTCCCCATGGATGGTAACCTGGGCCTGGTGCTGGATGTGGTGGATAGCACCAGAGGCCCTATGATCTCCAAGGTGACGTGATGGGGAGGTGACTGGTGGTTTTTAAATAGGGGACCCCATGGGACCCCTATTTGAATCTATTTAAGACCAAATTGTGGTGATAAAACTGGCGTGTATATACTTAAATCATCATGATACTGACAAAATAAAATATAAACGTATGTATATATATATATATACACATGCATCATGATATACGTACGTATATATATATACACCTATTTAGTCATATTTAAATAATTAATAATATGCTGAACCGTTTTTATAAATATTCTATATTTCTATTTATATGCTACTGCTAGAATGTTCTGCATCTGCGCCTGTGCACATGCTTGAATGCTGGCTCTTCCGACTTTGTGGTGGTAGATGGCGGAAAAAATCGTTTTCCATGGTTTTCCATGGTGTTCCCTGACATTGATGGGATTCATTGTTTCGCCTGAATCATGCTTTTTGCGCAGCCTCTTACGATATTGCCGTCCTTGTCCTTAGATGCCGCACTGTGCACATGTTTTTTGCCAATTTTGTCCTTGATCACTGAGTTGGACAGCATGAAGCTTTTCTTTGACTCCATTTTCTCCAAGAGCACACGTCAGACAGCAGATGGCTGCACACTAAAAGGGACATAAAGTTGGTGAGCTTGAGTTGGTTTATCATGATATATCATTGTATCATGTGGCTATTGGATTTGACATTGGCAACATGCCGCTGGCGTTGCTGTACTACCCGACAGCATCTACCGGCCAACTCCAGGTTGATCATGGAGCGATCCAGAGATTCAATGAGAAGAACCCCTCGCAGGCAGCCGTCAAAACCTTTCTGGAATCAGGGAATGTTCCCAGCCGGTCCTGTATTGTAGTTAGCAGTCAAATTCCAACATGATCAACATGCACACATATATCTAGAATATGTTTATGTATATACAGTAATATATATATATATCACATGTAATGTATGTAATGTATGTATGTAATGTATGTAATGTATGTAATGTATGTATGTATGTATGTATGTATGTATGTATGTATGTATGTATGTATGTATGTATCTATGTATGGTAATGTAATGTAATGTAATGTAATGTAATGTAATGTGATGTAATGTTAATGTGATGTAACTGATAATGTCATGTATGTGTAATGTAATGTTGTTGTATGTATTGGGTGTAATTGTAATGTAATGTATGTATGTAATGTATGAATGTAAATGAATGTGTATGTAATGTAATTGTGTATGTTAATGTATGTAATGTTAAATGTAATGTATGTAATGTAATGTCTTTAATGTATGTATTACTTCATGTTAAATGTACGTTTCTCGTTTCTGTTATTAAGTTCTGTAATGTATGTATGTATTTTATTTACTTTCTGTAAATGTCTTACAGGTATGTAATGTATGTCCTGTCTGTCCTAGTCTGATCGGTCCTGTCCTGTCGCCTGTCTGATGCTGTCTGTCCTGTCCTAGTCCTGTCTGTCCTTCCTGTCTGTCTGTCCTGTCTGTGTGTCTGTGTCTCTGTGTGTCTGTCTGTCCTGTCTGTCCTGTCTGTCCTGTCTGTCCTTTCTGTCCTGTCTGTCCTGTCTGTCCTGTCTGTCCTGTCTGTCCTGTCTGTCCTGTCTGTCCTGTCTGTCCTGTCTGTCCTGTCTGTCCTGTCTGTCCTGTCTGTCCTGTCTGTCCTGTCTGTCCTGTCTGTCCTGTCTGTCCTGTCTTTCCTGTCTTTCCTGTCTTTCCTGTCTTTCCTGTCTTTCCTGTCTGTACGTCCTTTCCTGTGTGTCCTTTGGTGTACTGTTGCCCTTTCTTGTCCTGTCTTTCCTGTATGTCCTGTCTGTCCTGTCTGTCTTTCTGTCCCTGTCTTTTCCTGTCTTTCCTCTGTCCTTATGTCGCTTTCTGTCTCTTTCTTTCCCTGTCTTCCTTTCCCTTTCCCTGTCCTGTCCTATTTCTGTCTGTCTGTCTGTCTGTCCTGTCTGTCCTGTCTGTCCTGTCTGTCCTGTCTGTCCTGTCTGTCCTGTCTGTCCTGTCTGTCCTGTCTGTCTGTCTGTCTGTCTGTCTGTCTGTCCGTCCGTCCGTCCGTCCGTCCGTCCGTCCGTCCGTCCGTCCGTCCGTCCGTCCGTCCGTCCGTCCGTCCGTCCGTCCGTCCGTCCGTCCGTCCGTCTGTCTGTCTGTCTGCCTGTCTGTCTGTCTGTCTGTCTGTCTGTCTGTCTCTCTCTCTGTCTCTCTCTCTGTCTCTCTGTCTCTC